ACCGGGAGATGGAAAAAGCCCCTCAGGTCACCCAGTTCATTTCTCTGAAGGAATGAACAGATGCATCTCACAGTACTAAGATCCCTGTATATGTCAGCATTCTAGAGGGTCAGGAAGCCCTGTTTTTTTTCTTCCTTCCTTCCTTTCTTTCTTTCTTAATTGACATTTCCATCTTTATTGAAATACAGTTGACAAAATGTAATATGTAATTGAGTTATATAATTTGATGTAGGATATACATTAAGAATTTCAAAATCATTCTGAATGTATTGTGAAGTAAAGCATATGTGTGAAACATATACTCTGTTTTCATATTCTACTACTCTATGTCATTGTTACGTATCTTACCTGTCTCACAGCATTTTTAACTCATGCCGATACTTCATCCTTTCTCTTCTTTATTTTTGCCAGTTCTTGTCCTTGTATTTGTCATCACATTTCTCTGTCATTATATTATTGTAGTAATAGAATTCCACAAATGTGGCTTAAAATGGCAAAATGTATCAAGCTGTAATCATGGCAGTCATAATGGACATAGATATTGAGAGGCTAAACAGCATGATGCCTGCAGGACTGAATTCTCTAGAGCATCTACCATAGCGTGATGCTTTTCAGAACTCCATTCTCTAGAGGATGGACTACAGCATGAGGCCTGCAGGACTCCGTTCGCTTAGAGGGTCTAAGTGATTCCAGTTCCTTGTATTTCCCATGTTCTTAGGCTGTCATTCTTCAGCTCAAGGCTGGGAGTAAGCAATTGGATCATTCTATTTTCCACTGTCTGTTTACATATCCCCCTGATATGACTATAGTTTTTTTAATAAACAGTTTTTAAATTTAAATTAGAAACAAGCTTGTTTTACATGTCAATTCAAGTTCCCTCTTCCTCCCCTCCTCCCCTGTTCCCCACTGACCCCCTATCCCATTCCCTTTCTGTTCCCCAGGGAGGGTGAGACCTTCCATGGGGGATCTTCAAAGTCTGTCATATTTGGAGCAGGGCCTAGACTCTCCCCCGTATGTCTAGACTGAGAGAGTATCCCTCCATAGGGAATGGGCTCCCAAAGTCCATTGGTATGCTAGGGATAAATACTGATCCACTACCAGAGGCCCCATAGATTGCCCAGGCCTCCTAATTACACCCACGTTCAGGGGGTCTGGAACAGTCCTGTGCTGGTTTCCCAGCTATCAGTCTGGGGTCCAGGGGCTCCCTCTTGTTCAGGTCACTTGTTTCTGTGGGTTTCTCCAGCATGGTTTTGACCCCTTTGCTCCCTCTCTGCAACTGGATTCCAGGAGTTTGGCTCAGTGTTTAGCTGTGGGTGTCTGCTTCTGCTTCCATCAGCTACTCAATGAAGGCTCTAGGATGGCATTTAAGGTAGTCATCAATCTCATTATCAGAGAAAGGCATTTAAGGCAGCCTCTCCACTATTGCCTAGATTCTTAGTTGGGATCATCCTTGTGGATCTCTGGATATTTCCCTAGTTCCAGATTTCCCTTTAAACCTACAATGGCTCTTTCTATTATGGTATCTCTTTTCTTGCTCTCATCTATTCTTCCCCTGATTCAATCTTCCTGCTCCTTCATGTTCTCCTTTCCCCTCCTTTTCTTCCCTTCTCTTTCTCCTAACTCCCTTTCCCCTACCCACACGCTCCCAATTAGCTCAGTAGATCTGGTCCCTTTCCCCTTCTCTGGGGGACCATGTATGCCTCCCTTAGGGTCCTCCTTGTTTCTTAGCTTCTCTGGTGGTGTGGATTGTAGGCTGATAATCCTTTGCTCTATGTCTAAAAGCCATATATGAGTGAGTACATACCATGTTTGTCTTTTTGTGACTGGGTTACCTCACTCAAGATGGTTTCTTCTAGTTCCATCCATTTGCCGGTGAATTTCAAGATTCCATTGTTTTTTTCTGCTGAGTAGTACTCCATTGTATATATGTACCACATTTTCTCTATCCACTCTTCAGTTGAGGGACATATAGGTTGCCTCCAGATCTGTCTATTACAAATAATGCTGCTATGAACATAGTAGAACAGACATCCTTGTTGTATGAATGTGCATCTTTTGGTCATATGCCTAAGAGTGTAATTGCTGGATCTTGAGGTAGACTTATTCCCATTTTCCTGAAGAATCAATCTCCATACTGATTTCCAAAGTGGCTGTACAAGTTTTCCCTTTTGTCATATTCAATGTATGATGATGTCATTATTTTGCCTCACACAGGTGGCTCAAGTTTCAAGCCAGAAATACTGGGGTCAATTTAAACCCTATGATACATGTAGAGACTGTCAAGAAAGGTCCCTGTGTCTGACTGTCTAGTCTCCCTACTACTCAGAGTACAGACAGCCACACCCTGAGGAGCTATGCTTGGACAGGGCATGGCCTTTAAACATGGGGGAGACTGGGAAAGTGGAGATGAGGCCATCACAAGACTGGAAAATATAGTTTCAGGGTCTTTATGCCCTTGCACTAGGATATGGAGACAAAAAGGGACGCAGCTGAGGCACAGTGGCTCTCTTCAGCAAGGGGGGTTTGGGGACAATGGCCGAGGCAGCCAAAAGTGATGAGCCACATGCCTGAGAGGATGAGGATGCCAGCCATGGAACGGGTACCTGGGCAGCATCCCGCATCCTCTCACAGCATTGGCTCTCTGCCTTTAATGCAGTTCCTCGCGTTGCGGTGACCCCCGCATAACATTATCGTGTTGCGACTTCATAACTGTAGTTTCGCTACTGTTATGAATAGTAATATAAATGTCTGTGTTTTCAGATGGTCTTAGATGACCCCTGAGAAGGCTGTCTCAACCCACAGGCTGAAAACCTCCGCATTACAGTCCATCCTTACACTGGCGCCATACAGGATGTTCCAGGAATAACTTCTCCAGGGCTCTGGTTGGTCTCTTTCCCAGGAAAAAAATGATCATGGAGATGTCTGAGTTACTCCTGGATACTGTGCTCTTTTGATGGAAATATATTTTCCAGTTTTCATCTAATAGAAGTCTCTTTTCCACCTGTGTAACATCTTCAGCGTCAGCGTTTGGTGGTAGTTCCCACCTGTGAGAAAGCCATAGTTTGTGAAGGCCAGTGGAATCAGTACTGCCACTGTCACTGCAGCTGGTTGCAAGGTCCCACTAAGGTTTGCTTTCTCCCTTATAGGGACTGTTCTAGGCTTCCCTAACTCTCAGCACATACTGTGGCCCCGGTGTCTAACTTAGCTGGGGAGATGGAACCTCCTTCTTGAGTGTGGTGAGCTCTGGCCACCTCGTCCTTCTTTGAGTTTGCTTTACTATTTGTCATTTATCACACACTATCTGAAAAGTGGGAGGAGCTTCATCAGGGCAGTGCCCCGAAGGCGGAATATGTGCATATGTGCACTTCCTGCTTCTCAGGGAGTCCCTCCTTCTCCCGATGAGCAGGGTTGATTACTTCCTAGTAAGAAGATGATGTCTTCATTTGCTACCTGCCTGGTCTCCCAAGACAAAGGACCTGAAGTTCTGGAGTGGTTTTGGAGTTATGTGGGACTCTTTCCGTGTTCCGTAGTGAGGATTTCTGCTCCACAAGAACCAGGCTCTCCAGAGCTATTGATCAGAGTCACAGAGTTGAAGAGAAAATTCCCTTTGCTTTTATTCTTTAATTGCCAGCTCATGTGTTCTACTCACCAGAATCACTACTGCGAATGTTTGCTTGTTTGAGGTTGTAACACCTTCTACTTAGAGGTACTTAGTTTGCAGGGGTCACCAGCTGGATCCACAGACTGGGTCAACGTAGTTTGCTCCAAAGTGACACCGATGGCTGGGAATTAGTTATCAGTGAGCGGGCATGGAAGATGTTTATTTAGCCGTAGTCAGATAGATGGAGGGGTCTGCACTCAGCAGAGGGCTTTCAGAGTGGGGCCACGCCCTTGCTGATGACTAGATGAAGCATAAGTAGGGTAAGCAAAATCTTGGGGTTAGGGATCAAAATAAGTTCAGGGTAGACTTTTGAATCATTGAAATTTTATTTTAGCTTCTTTTGTTGAGTGGAAGAAGAAACAATCATAAGACCAGAAGATGCTGGTATAGGGATCTTCATACGCTGTGTGTTGACCAGCTTTGGGATATGAGCTGTTTTGGGAAATGGTTTTGACTAGGGCAAGGTGACCCACTTCAAGTGGGCACCTCCACTAACATGTGTACACTCCCACACGTACACTCACAACTAAAAGTAAAACAAATCTTCACAAAGAATGATATAAATAGACTGTGAAGTCTACCAGTGGTTGTATGGCAGTTTCCATTCCTTCCCAGAATGAGACTCGGGACAGAAACAGCTTCATCTATCTGAGGAGCCTGAGACTGAGGCTCAGGAAGGCCAGCCCCAAGACTATGGAGGAGGAAACAATGGAAGAGTAGGCCCTGACTAGCTGCGCTGCTGAGGGGAGATCCCCCATCTATTGAACTGCCTGTAAGCCCTTAGTGGGGGCTTTTCAGTGATGAAACTGCTTTGAAGGTGTCACTACTCCTGTAAGTAACCCTTCACCCATAACCCACTATGTGGCCCCAATAGAAACTCAATGGTTCACAGCCTTGGTCTGTCATGGGTTCTCTATCTGGGGTGAATACATGCGTGTGTGTGTGTGTGTGTGTGTGTGTGTGTGTGTGTGTGTGTTGTGTATACTGAGGAAACATTGCAAACAATACCAGCTGATGTAGACGCTTAAAACTGGACTGCATAGACTATTCACATATATGATTATGGGCAGAATTAGATCAAATTCTGTCATTTTGTCACGTGTTTTCCCCTGCTGTCTTCTTCATGTCATTCTTTCTTTTCTACATGGCCTTTGTACAGAGGTGATTTTCTTTTTTAATGCTTAAGAGATGGGAAACCCGTGAGGTGGACTCTAATTTCTGTGTGGTTACACCTCCACTCAACAGTACTCACAAGATTAATATAACCTCCGATTCCCAGTTGGGCCAGCTATGATTTCAATATCTTAGCATTTTCCCAGAAGAAACTGACTTCATGAAATGAAAGTATCAAACAAGAATTTTATTATATATAAACACATTTCTTAATACTGTTCTTTCGTTACTTTCAACCCGGACAGGGAGGAGTAGGGCAGCCAGACAAGAGATCATGTAGGAGACTAGCAATGCATATGTGTCTGTATACTTCGGTATTGCTACTGCAGGGGGATACAAAACGAGATTCAGGAACAAATGTTTATTTCTTCATCCTCTTATTTGGCTCCTCGGCGCTGCCGGAAGTAGCGGTTATAGGCAGCATTGTATCCGTAGACCATGGCATAGCGCTCACACAGCTTGTAGTCATCACAGGCTTCCCTGTTGATCTCATAGGCAGGCTTGTTGCGTTCCCGGACCCTGGAGAGTGGAGAGAAGAGGCCAAAAATGAAGGGTAGGAAGATGACGGTGCAGTCAGAACAAAAGAAAAGGCTAGCGGATACTGGGTGGAGCCCCTCCCCCAACACTAAGAGGCTCTTGAAGAACAGGTTTAGATTTTGATATTGTTTTTATGAGTAAAAATAGAAGCTTTCTTTATGGCCCCTTTTCCTTCCTCCCCATCTCCTTTCTAACTTCAAAGCAAAAGAGTTCCTAAGCATTCTGTTTTCTCCGTCTTGCTTTTCGATTCTTTGAGTTCAAGACACAGAAATAGTGACAAAGCTCTCCCCTGCTTAGCGCAGATCCGCGCTACCACACTGGGAAGGACGACCGCCCCATCAAGCTGTGGTACTCACCGCTCTTGGGCTTTAGCTCGCCATCTCTGCTGAGGGGATATAAAGGTGTTGGCATTCCTCCTGTTGATGAAGGGACCTAAAACAGAAAATAAATGTATTTTCATGGAAACATCTGAAGGAAACGTTTTGTCAATAGTCTGAGGGGAAAATACATCTGAAATCTCATTAATCTCTCTGTATGTTACCAGAGATAGGCAAGAAATATAAAAAGAGCATAAAGTAGATTTTATAAGCTGCACGAAGAAAGGAAATGAAGGACCATTTATGTGTGTTGGGGACCTGTCACACAGGCCACACCAAATCTTATCTGTTTTGTCTCTGGGTAATCCTTTGCTGCTTTTGGTAATACCCACTCAGGGTGTCTTTAATGTATTTCAAGAGGAATCTTCTCACTGTTTGGACCGACAGAGTAGGTCATGGACCACCAGCACAGGGTCAAGTTAAATACTATGAAAATGAGGAACAAACTAGATACAAGGCCTGGTATGGGGGTCACACTTGTGGTAAGGTGGGGGCGGGAGGCTGAGGAGTTTAAACTCATCCTCAGCTGTGTATCAGCTGTGTACTCCTTGGAGGCCAGTCGGGTGACAGGCGACAGCCACTGAGTCAAAATTCAAACCAAAGCAGAAAACAAAAATATTTCAAATTAACCAAACAAAAATGCAGCTGCCTTTCCGCTGCAGGCTGTAGACGGACTTTCTGTAGTCTGTAGGCTCAGGCGGGGAATCTGATGCTGACGCCTGTGGTCTCCTAGCTGGCTACCCCATTCTGTGCTTTCCCAGTTGTCATTACTCCTCATTTTCCATTTATGTGGCTGATGTGATGTCAACATAAAATTTCCAAGTGTTCTGGATACATTTTAATGCCATATTACACGGCTCAAAGTGGGAGCGCTGCTGCTCACTCGGACGGTTTTAGTCGCTGGCTTTAAAAATTCAGGGCCGCTCCTCCCTTCCCTCTCTGTCATAGACCTGGCCAGCATTTGAGTTTTAAAACAATAAGATGCTAGCTGTTCTTTAATGCAAGCAACTGAAAGAAGGTTGCCAAGCATTTACTTACTGATTTCGTAGGACTCCATGCTCTCGTGCGATTCTGCAATCAAAAGAAAGGCTTGTGTTAGGCTTGTTTGTCACATGCTGTCCAAAGAGGTAGAAGGGGAAATCAGAGTCAAAGAGATGGGAAGAGCGCAATTAGCAAGGCGGCTGTTAAGAAATTCGGGTAATATAGGAGTTATGAGTTGTTTCTCCGTCTTGTTGATCTTTCTGACACATTCAGGCCCCGGTTTGGGAAGAGGGTTCAAGGAACTTAAAGGTGGGGGTGCAGCAGCCAGACTTCTCCAGGGTGGGAGAGCCAGGGTGGTTATTGAGCTGCATGACCCAGACAGTTTCTGAGAGGGTTCGGAGCGGCTCTTAAGAATGGGTGTTAAATTGGCAGCCTCAGAAACCACAGGCTCCCTTTCACAGTGTAACTGGGCACAAAGCCAGGGCGGAGAGGACGTCAAAGCATGTGGGTCTGCTCTCCCGGTGTCTCCCGAACACAGCGGGCAAAGTGGGGGTGAGAGGCTGTGTTTATAAGCGTCTGCCTGCCTGCAAAGTGAAGAGGGCGGGTGAGGGAATCAAAGGCATACACAGAATGTTTATGAATGATTCCAAAGTCAAGAAGCATAGCGTTAGAGCTGTTCATACAGTTCAGGTTTAAAAACAACTAAATATGGCCAACACGATTGAAGCACAATTGTGGAAATGATTTTGCTTCAAAGCTGTGAAGAAATCACAGACAACTTAACAACAGGTGGGAGAAAAAAGTGTTCTTTGTAAGCAGTTAAGAGGCCGACACTTTCCCAAAATTCAACTGTGAAGTCGCTTTAAAAAACGAATCCACGAAAGAAATGCACTAAGTTCATGGTATTTTCTATCCCCCAAAGGGCTATTTCTAGCTAATACTTGCATTGCTAACTCGTTTTCTCAGAGTAAAAGCTTGATCAAAGATTCTTAACCCATTAACACTCAAGTCTGAATGAGCATTCTTAAAGATAAGACTATAGGTGTTGGATTCTAGGAGTGTAGATTCATCCCTGGAAGAGCTCACCCGTTAAGAAGCTCACATGCACGGGGATGTTTAGAATATAAAACAGATGCGGAGGAGTGGTCAGTGACTGTGGACACAGGGTTCATGATACTCTGGGTTACAATAGAGGTAGGGGAAAGAGGAGGAACGGGGAGAGAGTAGAGGAGAAGGGACGCCTGTGGCGGGAGAGGTAAGCCCCAGTGACAGCAGGGGAGAGGTTTCTCACCATAGCACAGGGCTGCCACAGCCAGTGCAGCCAGGATGGCCAGAGGGAGCAGGCTCTTCATGGTGTTGGAGTATCCCGAGTGAGTCTGCCTCTGTGTCTGGCGCAGCAGCAGAGGGGAGAGGCTCCTACATGCTGCTGCCAAAGGCTGAGCTGTTTTTATAGGAACTCGAGCAGCTGAAGGGGGAGGATCCAGAAGCAGGGGGCTGGAAAAGGTGGGCTGTCTTGGCTCTAAACTTGCCTTGGAACTTCTCCCAAGTACTCATTCCTTTCAGATTGTATCTACATGGCGTGGGCAGTTTCCCTTCACTCCTGGTCCTGGCTGGGCTCGAGCAGGACGCTGTCCTGGTGCAGAAGTTGTGGCCACCCTGTGTTTGAGAGCCAGACCTGGGCACATGTCCATGGAGAGGGCCATTACCACAAACACCGGGTTGCCTTTCGAATTCCTCCTCTGATCTACTTGCTGGCCTTGCCCACTGGCCTCCGGGTCTTGATCCATAGACAGAGCTGTAGTGTTCCCTTTGCTACCAGATGGATGGAGAAGATGTTGGGGGAGGTGGAGAGGTCCCCAATCTCTATGCTGTGACAACTTAGACATCTTCACAGTAGGGCAGAATTTTCTATTTTAGACAAATCAGGCATTTGCCTGGTGATAGGCACTTGATGGAGTTTTCCAGGGGTTCGGAGGGGGTAGAGATGTGGGTACCTGATATGGGTACCCTGGAGTTGTTCATTAGCTACACAGTAATAACCTTGTGACATTAGTCTAGTCTTATGCCTTAATGCTCTCTCAGGTTAATGACTGAGCGAGTGCAGCAGGGATGAAGATACCCATTGCTCATGCTCTCAAAGCACTGCCTTGCTGCTGAGCCAAAGCGGCAGACGTCTCCTGATCAGGGTAAGGCTCATGATACTGCCATTAGATGCTATGTGCCAGCTCCAGACCACCAGAGAGCCTCCCTTAGGAGTCAGAAATAGCTCTGGGCTATGTCTCCACCCTTGACTGTAATGTACCCTCCAACACAGGTTTTCACAAGTCTGCATTTCACTGTACCATAAGGTCTGGGGGGTGTTGCTTATCGAACAGGAGAATTTCAATTCTGGCTATCTGAAGGCTCTCCTTCGCCTTCCCCACCTCCGTGTCTTTTCTACCCCCTGGTATCTTGGCTGCTTGGAATCTCATGGGTCTTCATTATGGCCAACAGACTTGGGTCTTAGAAGCACATTCTAGAAGATCTGTGGCCTCAGGACCTTCGGCTTGACATGAAACAGCAAAATGACAGGGGGTGTGGCCTGCTGGACCTTTTATCTTCCAGGGACACTGCTGTTCCTCCACTTCCCACCCAAGGAAAGAGCTGTACAGACGCTCCAGTGTTTCCTGTCAGACAACCTGTAGGGTCAGTGAGCTCAAGAACCAAGACACCTCTGCCTTTCCCTTCAGGTATAAAGAAGTGTCCATGGCTGCCGAGGTTGGGCCCGCAGCTCCTGCCGAGGACTGCAGTTTGTTTTCCAGTACCCACATTGGTGGCTCCTAACTGCCTATAACTCCAGCTCCAGAGACCCTGCTGCCCTCTTCTGGTTGGTATGGGCACCCACATATATGTGCACACACACACACACACACACACACATGTTTATATTAAAAATGGATTATTTTATTTTATTAAAACGGTCCCACTATCTAGCTCTGTTTGTCCCAGAACTCACCATGCAGACCAGGCCTTGAACTCACAGAGAACCACTTGCCTCTGCCTCCCAAGTGCTGTGCTTTGTGTGTGTGTGTCTGTGTGTCTGTGTGTCTGTGTGTCTGTGTGTCTGTGAAGGTCAGAGGGCAGCTTTAGCAGCTCGTTCTCACCGTCCACCTTGTTCGAGGCAGGGGTCCTATGAGCTCCTGGTGATTCCATATTCCTCTCCCATATTCCCAAAGGAGTGGTGGGATTGCCGGGGTCTGTGGGTTTTGAACTCAGTTGTCAGGTTGTGTGGCTAGCACCTTTCCCCACTGAGCTATCTCCCTGGCCCTGCGTTGGGCCACTTAAAACAAAGGAGTCTTGAATGCCCCTGCCGTCACTTCTGCACGATGATCAGATCAAGGTGATTGGTCAAGTTCTGGCTTCATGCGCTCAGCCCCAGTGGTCCCCGCTCTGCTCCCGGGTTCAGATGACAACTGTGCTCTTCCAGCCCTCTTGCTTTCCCTGAATCCAGAGCCTTTTTTTCCAACCTAAGCTTTGCAGCTTTTCTTACGCGCTGTTGTAATGGTGCCGTTACCAGATTCCCCAGGCTTGCCAGGCTCCCTTTTCACAATCTAGGGTTTCGCAAGGTCAAAGCTTTTCTTTTGGGTACTGCCGCTCTCTGACCCCTTCTGTTCTCCTTATTGTTCATCTACTTCTGGGTTTCCAATGGTAAACACTCCTTATAAGCCACTCGTAAAACCATTAATGTTTTGGAACTTGGACTCCTGCATTTCCTGCTCTAATATCATTCCCTATCCAAAAGTAATTTTGTACACAGCAACTCTAATCACATGATCCTTCTGTTTGTTCTTTTGTGGTATTGGAACTCTACTGCTAGCTGGGCAAGGCTGCCCCTTTGCATTTGAGCTGTATTGTCCACGCCAAGTCAGATATATATATATATACATACATATATATATACACACATATGTATATATATAGTGTATAGTGTGCATATATGTGTGTGCATATGTGTACCTGTGTAGGTGGAGGCTGGAGATTGATATTAGGTGTTTCTATCAATTGCTCTTCACCTTATTTTTTGAGACAGAGTCTCTCACTGAACCTGTAGCTTGCTAATTTTGTTTAACTGACTAACCAGCACACTGTAGGGATCCTCCTGCTTCTGCCTCCCCAACTCTGGAATACCATTGTGCCTGACTGTTTTTTGGGGGGTCCTGGGGGACCAACACAGATCCCCATGCTGTATGGTGAGCACTCTAGTGACTGGCATATTTCCTTAGGTTGTAATAAAGTGTCTCACAGAGGACCAGGACCACCCTGTGAACAGGCGCGTGCTCTGCATTGCAAAGGGGCCAGATCGCTTCATCTGAACATGGAGAGAAGAAAAGAGAGGGAACAGGAAGGAAGTGAAAGAGGAGGCATGAGTAGAACTTTGGAGATTTGGGGTTTATGGTGCGTTTTAGGTAGACTCTGAGTTACAGAGATGGAAACCTGTAAGACACCTTTGGAATGTGAGATGTACTGAAAATGAGACACAAGGAAGACAAAGAAGCTACTCTGGTTATTGCTAAGATTGTTTGAGATGATAAATTATCACTTGAGAATCATCAGGAGTTATCTGAAGCTTCATAATTAATTTCGGATGACAGCATGCATTGTCCTAATGGCTAACTTGTAAATTCTGAATCATCCCAAGTTCCAACTTATATTTGGATTTAAACAATTATGACAGACATCTAGAGAGCTGTTTCTCCTTAGCCCAAGAGAAGTGCTACGTAGTATAGAAGATGATAGACACTCTCAGGAGTATCTGCAAACATGTAAGTCAGCCACACAAGTGCTAGTTTTCCTAATTTACAGAATCTCCTTCAGCAAAACTGACAGGATGAAAACCAGGCGACAGAGGCCACAAAAGAACGCAAGATCTCCCAACCACACTCTCAGGAGGGAAACAGAACATCACTGTTTAGCCAAACATCAGTTTGCCCATCCATCCACCCATCCACCCATCCATCCATCCATCCATCCATCCACCCATCCATCCATCCACCCATCCACCCACCCACCCATCCACCCATCCACCCATCCACCCATCCACCCATCCACCCATCCATCCACCCACCCATCCACCCATCCATCCACCCACCCATCTACCCATCCACCCACCCATCCACCCATCCACCCATCCATCCACCCATCCATCCATCCATCCTTCTACTTACCACCCACCCACTGTATTGAATACTTTATGTGCAATTCTAGGATGGAAACACAGGGAAGAGAAAGATACTACTGTGTTTCCTATCTTTGTGCATCCAGGAGCTTCCAGGATACAGATTTAATTAGCTCTCCTTTTAGTTAAAGCCTGTCTTCAGCTGGATGGCCTCAGAGAAGACCACGTGGCATGCATGACTTATCGTGGGGCTGACCTTTTCTACGGCATCTGTATCCAGAGCAACAAGAAAAGCGTTGATGACAATCAGGTAAGATCAGGGAGAGAATGGAAGAGAGTTGCCAGCAACTGCTGTGCAGAGACGCTTTTCAGAATAGCACACTGGAAGGTACCCCAAAAAGTTATCCCCCATCTAAGTATTAATAATGACAGAAATTACAGTTATGTTTTCTCTACCAACCCTGTTCCCTTGATTTCTCTTCTTGCTTATCTATTTCTACAGAGTCTTTTTCCCCCCCTCAAATGGCTAAGCATGTCTGAGAAATTTTCCTGGCTCAAGTAAAATAAAAAAAATTTGCTGTCCCATGAGATTCAGCACTATCAGCAGAATATTGATTTTATGAGTGATTTTTTTGTGGTAGAACAAAAACTATTATTCTTTCCAGTAAAGGAAAGAGAGAATGAGAAGAGCAAGCTTCAGTCCTGAAGATAAAAACAGAAGTCACTGTTTGGGACATTAAAAGACAATGAACTGAGAAACAGAAAGGAGGCCAACATTATGGACTCTTAAATGTATTCTTTTAGTGCAGTATTTCTCAACCTTCCTAATGCTGTGACCCTTTAATACAGTTCCTCACATTGTGGTGACCTATGACCACAAAATTATTTTCATTGCTATTTTATAACTGTAATTTTGCTACTGTTATGAATCATAGTGTAAATATCTATGTTTTCCAGTGGTTCTAGGTGACCTCCACCAACGGGTCATGACCCACAGGTTGAGAACCACTGCTTTAACACAACTTTATTGAATGGATTCTACGTTTCTGACTTCCTCATTGACTTAGTTTTCCAGATGTAGAATCATTCACTCCTGTCCTTGGTTTGTCTAAGCCGAACAAGTGAGAAGAAGCCCTTGTCGGTGTCATGTGGGTGGATATGTGAATGACCATGGCGATGTCCCCACGAACAGGTTAAAGCAATGGAGCTGCTGGTTGGGACAACTGTACTTTTCCTTTACCCCATGGCATGTCAGCCACGTGCTTCTTTCTTACTGAAAATTCATTTTTCAAAAACAATGGTGCCATGGGTAGGGCGGTGTTGTAGGAAGGCCCACGTGAAAAGGCCTGTCCTCAGAATGGTGCCAAGGGAGGCGCTGAGACCTGTAGAGGTGTGCCTCAGGTCACCCAGGGGGCATTGGGAGACTCTGCCTTTCTCTGTCGCTTCACTTCCTGCTGTGCCAGATGGGCTGTTTTGTTCCACCACACACTCCTGCCACGAGTTTTCACCTCTTTGCAGGCCCAAAGAAACATGGCCAGCTGACACAGACCGAAACCTCCAAAATGGTGACGCAAAATGAACTTCTTGCAAGTTTGTCATTTCGGATGTTTTGTGGTAGTGAGAGGAACTAACTGACACAGAGAGGAAATACCAAAAAAAGAATTACTTCACTATCCACGTGGCACGTGTCTGTGTTGAGAATTTGCTCTCAGTTTTCATTCATTTTGGTCATTTACTTTTTAAAATGACAGAATATTACCCCCATCTTATGTATATGAAAGGAGAAGCTCCAAGAGTCTACAGTTCATGCAAGGTCTCACGGTAAGTATGCAGCAAAGGGACTCAAAGAATAAGGCTTTTATTCTTTATAATTATTCAATATCCCCCAAGTTTCTGGCATATGCTTATGTCACAGATTGTGCCCACAGAGCTAAGAGAAAACTAAGCAAAAATAAGTACATACTAAAAATAATATTTTCTTCGATATCGTTTAAAATGAACATCAGGAATGGAAGACTTATACATTACCATGGAAACCCAGAAAATTAAAATGACTAATTAAGCAGAAAGAGGTGAACTTGGTTTTGGATCCTGAACACCCGTCTCCACTCAGTACCCTGTTTTCATCTGCCCAAACATGTTCCAGTTTAAATATGCGACATTCCAGAAACCTTTCAGCTCACTTCAGGAATCACCACGTGGGTATCCTCCCAGTCTGGGACTCATGTTTTCTGACTGCCATCTGATACTAGCTTTCTGGCTGGTGTTCCCAGCTGTTTCTCAGCACCTATAAAGTCAGTTTCTACAGTAACTTAAACCTCAAAGAGGGACAGGGGGAATGTAGACTCCATTTACAAAATGCCCTTTCAAGTCAAAGCAAAATAGACAGCAGGTTCTGTCGCCACCCTTGGCTAGTGATGAAGGTGAGGATGGCTCTCTTTCGGCCCCAGCTGTTTTTTCTGGATGAGAGATGATGCAGATGAAGTGTGGGGGTATTTTTCCTATGGAACTGTGGTCCTAGCTGGAGACCAAGGCATCATATATAAACTCTTTGCTGGCATTGTGGTCTCTGCTACATTCTCAGTGAGTCCATTCACCATTCCAGCTAACTAAGATGAAAATACTTCTTCCTTTGCTGGGGAAATCCATCACCCCAGGGAAGGGAGAGGGCCATAGGGATGGAGGAGGCACTTGGTGACTGGCACGCTTGGGGGGGTTAGGGGTGGTGCACTTGGTGAGGTGAGTCTACACCAGGATGATGACAGGAGGTGTGTGTGTGTGTGTGTGTGTGTGTGTGTGTGTGTGTGTGTGTGTGTGTGTGTGTGTATGGAGACAGGGTGGGACTGTGCTTCCCCCTTGCAAAGCCATGAAGGGGAAGATCATTTGCTCGCCCCATTGCTATACACAGGATTCGGGAGGCTGCTCCGGAAGGACGTGACTTGAAGGTCAGAGCTACACAGTTAGACTGAGCCTAAACAGAATAACAAAACAGCCCTGGAAAACACAGCAAGATGGAAATAATAACGCTTTAAATAATGCTGACTGAAAGCAACTTTAAGAAACATCCCTAAAAAAGTAACATTAGGAAGCTTCTCCTGGCTCCCCTCCATCTTGTTGCCCCCTCAATACTTACTCTAAAAACAGACACCGCATCAGCGGGACTGGACAGGCTTCGCAGACAGTAACACTTCTTTGGCTAACATATGTGGTTTGGGGGATAAGAAAGCCTAGATTTGGACCTGAATCCTGGCTCCTCCATCCCCTGTTTATGTGACATCCCACATGTCATTTAAACTCAGGAGCCTCTTCCTTATCAGTGACACAGCTGGCGATGACAACGTGCAACTCTGAAGAATGTTGGCTAAGTTAAATAAGACAGTACATATAGAGTTACCAGTTTACAGGCTGTCATGAGATGTCATGGAGCGCATGCGCGCGCGCGTGCGCACACACACACACACACACACACACCAACACACTACTGAAACAACAAAAATGCCACTTGCTCCACTCCATCAAGAGTCACCTCCCCTCTTGTTCCCCCACCTCTTCTTCAGGGGAATAGACCACTGGTGATAAGTAAAACAGAGGAAAAATTACAGAAAGTAGATCTGGGTCATCAGCTCAGCAAGGTCTCATGCAGGGAGAAGTGAAGAGGGGTCTGGAAACCCTTCTGTGTCCTGGCACTGCCCTCCACAGCCATGTGAGTCCCGAGCCAGTTATGTATGCTTGTAAACAGAAGGGCTGGGCTAGACTGCTATAGTTTTGGCCTTCTAAACTATTCAGTCTTGAAAAGATAAACAAGCTGGAGAGGCAATTCTATGAGCCAAAGCCTGAAGGAACACTCCGTTCTTAATACAGTTTCTCAAGGTCCTTCATGGGCTGCCTGCTATTTGAATGTTCACACCTCATCCTGCAAACCAATAGGAAGACGGCCCTGCAAATCTCCACTCAGATCTCCCTGCCCATACATTAGACCCGCTGTCACTTCTCAGTTGACCGGAGGCTTTGAGATCTGTGCTACAAGAAACACTCCTTGCAGCCAGGGCTGGATCCCTGAGAGAAAACCCTTTTCACAGAGAGATCTGAAAGTCTGTAATTCATCTCCTTGTCTACATAGTCTAATTACTGCAGACCAAGGGGTGAAACAGAGTCTACAGAGGAAGCCAAGGAGGCCTCGGAGGAAACGCTACAGGGGCCGCACTTGCTCACTGAGCCGAGAAGAGAATAGACTTTTCTACATCCGAGGTCTCCCTGATAGAACTAGGCAAGTCCACATCCAAGGTGTCCCTGATAGAGCAGTGAAGGGAAAAATACAGAGAAGTGGGGTTCGGTTGACCTGTGGGGGCTCATGGGCACCCTGCCCTCTGGAGCTTGCATAGGAGTTCCCTTATCACTGTTCGTTTGAATTCGGGTGGCCTCCAGGCTGTGCAGAGTCTCCCGATGCAACATTCTGTGAGTTTCCTGTTTCCCCTCCATCCTCTGTTATATATTTCCCGACATAATGAGAGTTTGGAAGACATTTTTATTTTGTTGAGATAATGAAGCCAAGTATTTGCTGGGATTCTTTGGGTAGGAATACATGAGAGGGAGGATGGACAAGATCAAAGGGAAGGAAGAAAAATGGACGGGAACAAGACACAGTGTGGTTCCTTTTTTCACTTGTTCTGTTTTGAGAAGGCAGGAGAAGGGCTGTGGAGCCGGTATGGCAAGGGGCAATGGTTATGGGAATGAGAGTCTGACACGGATATTTGTTAGCCAGACTGAGCGGGTTCCATGAAGATAGCCTCTGGACCCCATTTAACTTTATTCATTTTTAATTTTATTTTTTGTTTTTTGAGGCCTTGCTATATAGCTCAAGCTGGCGTTAAACTCGGAATCCACCTGCTTCAGCCTCCCAAGTGCTGGGATTGAGGTGTTTCCTACCAGGACAAATCTCACTTATCTTTAAAAAGCACAGCAGCCCTCCATTGCTTCCTGAACTAAGCCAGCGCCACTCTTAACGTGACTGTTGGCTCTGTGAGGGCATAGTGAGGGACTGCGGAAGATCTAGGGCTTTGGAGTCAAGGGGACCCTGTCACTAACTGGTCTCTGCCATCTTTCCAACGCCCCCCTTTATGAGTTTGTTTGTTTTTTGAGATAGGGTTTCTTGAAGACCAGACTGACCTTGAGCTTGGTGTGTAGCCAAAGATGGCTTTGAACTCTTGATCTTCCTGCCCCTAATCCAAGGGCTGGGGTTATTGTCATGTATCCATGCGCTTAGGGTTCTTTCTTTTCTTGATTTGTTTTCATCTGGAAGAATGGAGGTGGTCATGGGAAGAACACAGCCATAGAGCTGTAGTTGGGATGAGGGGAGACAACACATCTGTAGAATGTTCCATGAAAGCAGCTATGGCCATGTGTATTTGTTTTCCAATGCTGTGATAAAACACCGTGACCAAGGCGCATCTGTATCTCTGTGCACACGCATGATGCAGGAAAGCATCGTCTCTTTAAAGACTGAATTTACTTGTGCTTACTGAACCTGCGTATTGCAGTAAATGCCTCTTGGGAGATTTTGCACTAACCCCATGCTGTTTTCTGTAGCTCCTCATTGCAGAGTACCAACATGCCTGCCTGCATGGCTGCATCCCACTGGATCTCAAGCCTCTCAAGAGACATCAGGGATTATGTTTGCTCCCTCTTTGTAGCCTATCTCAGATATTTCTTCTAGCACACAGAAGATATTCATTTATGTTTCTTGAATTGAGCCAACCTGCAAATTTTTTCCTTTTGAGACAGGGTGTTGCTAAGAATCCCTGGCTGTCCTGGAACTCTCTATGTAAGCTGAATGGCATTAATTACAGGCATTAAAGGTGTACCCCACCACACCAGGTTAGTGTTTTAACTTCAATTGAAAATATCCATACCCTATAACTAATTGATATATACAATTAAGATTCCTCCCTCCCTCCCTTCCTTCCTTCCTTCCTTCCTTCTTTCCTATTTCCTTCCTTTCTTTCCCTATGTTGTGTGTATAGGTATTTTGCTTGTAAGTGCTACAGTCTGTGTAACACATGTATGCAGTGCCTGAAGAGCCAGGAGAGGGCTTTAGGTCCTCTAGGACTGGAGTTACTGATGGTTGTGAACCGACATGTGGATGCTGGGAATTGAACCTTGGTCCTCTGGAAGAGCAGCCAGTGCTCTTGACTGCTAAGTCATCTTTTTAGTCCAAGATGAAAATTATTTTTGAGACAAGGTTTTACCTTGTATCCCAGAGCTTGCGATCCTCCTGTCTCAGCATCTGAGGTGCTAAGATTACAGGTGTGTGTCACATGCCTAGCCTACACTAGGATAGGAAATGGTCATGGTTGGAAATACTAAATAATGACATAGTGAGCTTACTTTGTCTTTCGTTTATGTATTGACTCATCTACTTAATTAAGTGTCTGTCCTTTTATGAAAAGTTTTTAGGTAATAACACTGGAAAATTAAATTATAATGTATACCCCTCTTTAAGGAAAAATACTAGTGAAACCTCTAGAATAGCAAGAATTACTCAAGAAGGGTATATTACCTTGAAAAAACTTCCTTACTGTATTTGGGATGTCAGTTATTCTATGTATTTTCTTGACATCTAGTGTCAGAACAAAATATCAGCATGTTACAGATATAATAAGTTCAATGGGAAAAAACTCACAAATTTAGGCATGATGATTGATACAAGCTTATAATTCAAGAACTTGGAGACTGAGGCAGAAGAATTGCTATGAGTCTGAGGCCAGTCTGGGATACATAGTGAGCTCCATAATAGCTAGGGCTACATAGTAAGATTCTGTCTCAATTATGTCTATGGATGTGTCTATCTGTCATCTATCTTCATCACTATCTTTCATCTCTCTTCATCATCATTATCTGTTATCTGTCTTCATTATCATTATCTATCTATCTATCTATTTATCTATCTATCTATCATCTGCTTGTGTGTCTGTCTATCTTTAAGTGTTGGTGCATGGAGCTGGAGAGAGACGGCTCAGTGCTTAGGAGTACTCCTGCTCTTACAGAGGACCCGAGTTTGGTTGCCAGCTCATATCTGCCTGTAACTCCAGCTGTAGGGATCCAATGTTTTCTTCTCTCCTCTGAGGGCACATGTATGCACGTAGTGTACATTGAGTCACACAAACACACATGCACATAAAAAATAAACTTTCAAAAATAAATATATACTGTTACTGGGTCATTTCCCATGCATGTACAAATGCACTCAGAATCGCCGAAAGGCTTCTTATTTTGATCTTAATCCCAGGATCCTGGCAATGCCTCCGGGTTCTCTCAGCACCCTGTGTTTGAGTTAATGTATCCACCTACCATGTGGAAAACATTCCCGCAAGCCAGGGCTGTCCCTGTCCTTGTGCTGTTGCCCCCCTTCGGTGTAGCAGGAAGACAGTGAGACGGGTTTTTCACTCCGAGCCTGTACAGGAAAAATCCCAGCCAGACTCTGCCTGGCCCTAGACAGGGAGAGCATAGTACAAGACACATTGTAAAGATCAGATGTGGGGCTGAGAAATCCACGTCCAGTTGCCAGTTTAGCTAAGCACAGCACTGGCCCCCACTTGTTCCAAGAACATTTTTGTTATTGTACCGTACCCCATTAGTTTTATTTCTGGCAACAAAACCTGAGGCATCTAGGCGCTCATTCCCAGGATCCTTTGGCTCCAGAGCGCACATCCTCAGTGGTCTTCAGCTCTGGTCCTGACCTTGTGAGAGAGTTCATACGGCTTTGGCAGCCGGGGATGAGGAGTGCTGAGCTTTGTTCCAACAAATACACCACAGACTCTTGGGAAAGGAAGAACACGGCAGGATTTTCTTCTTTTCAGTTACTCTGTAAATGTGTGATTGCAAAAAAAAAAAAATGTGTTCATGAAGAACGGAGGAACCTTGGGGGATTAATGCTTTCTTCCTGAGCTAATTGTCTGTATGTTGCCTGTAGACACTGAATTTGTCTCTAGCAAGTTGATCAAGCCCAGAGCAAGGCCTCACACAGGAGTGTGTGTATAGCACAAATTAACTGGGATGGCTTCTTCTTCTTTTTTTTTTTTTTTTAACGAGACAGGGTTTCTCTGTATTGTTTTGGAGGCTATCAGTCCAGCCCAGCCTCGAACTCACAGAGATCCACCTGCCTCTGCCTCCCAAGTGCTGGGATTAAAGGCATGCTCCACCACTGCCCGGCAAGTGGGATGGCTTCTAAAAACCATGTCACAAAGTTGGGAGTGGGACTGGGAGGAAGAGGGGTGAATAAGATTGAACTATACTCTATGACAGTCTCAAAAAATTAAATAATAGTAATAGAATTAAAAAATCGTTCTTGTCTTAAACTATGTGGCACAGATGAGAAGCTTGTTTGGGAGTAGGTCAGGGAAAGAGAGAAAAGAAAGGAAGGAATAAAGGAAGGAAGGAAAGAAGGAAGGAAGAAAGAAGAAAGAAAGAAAGAAAGAAAGAAAGAAAGAAAGAAAGAAAGAAAGAAGAAAGACACTGCTTAGTACGTATTGCTTGTGTGTGATTATTAGTGAATTCATGGAGATGCACATTCTTCTGCCTCCCACGTCCTGGACTAAAGGTGTGCACCGTCATGCCCAGCTCAGAAATGCTATTACATTTGTTTGTGTGTGCGCGTGTGTGCATGCGTGTGTGTACACCATGGCAGGCGTGTGGTGGCCAATGACACCTTGCCTGAGTTGGTTATCTCTTTCTCCCAGGTCAGTCCCGTGTGTGGGGATGCTGCTCTTTGGTTCTGCACCGGCCTAGCATGTGCAAAACCCTGGGCTGAATCTTCCCAACTGCAATAAACAAGCAAAAACACCAGCAAAACTGTCTTTAGCCTCTGGAAAGCTCCTGATTCAAGACAGCCGGAGTTAACTGGTCCTGATTCAAGACAGCCGGAGTTAACTGGTCTTGGCTCTTTCTGCTACATCTGTGGCAGTGCAGTTTCACAACATGACTGATTAGACCATGGAGAGCAGAAAGGGGAAGGTCCCCATTGGAAGTGACTTTATGGGGTAATTACAAAAAAAGTATTTATTAGACTCTTCTTTCTGGCTAATAATTTTCAGTAAGTTTTACCCATTCTTTTCCTTAGACTTAGTTACATTTTCCTGGAAATGGTACAATAAAGTCTTTTTCCATTTTAATATAGCATTCACTTGCACTCATTTTTCAAAGCATCTAATTTTTTGACCTTCCTACTCTGTGTAGGTGAGTTTATACAGGGGAAGCCAAAATTCTGTTCTCACAGAGATGAATTCTAGTAGAAGAGATAAAGACTAAGCAAATCAGATAAGGGGAAAAAGTCTCATTGGATGAGAGGGAAAAGTGGAAAAAGAACTTTTGAGAGTCCACGCCCGTTTCGCATGAGTTCCCGCTCATGCCTTCACACTTGGATGCTCTTCAGGGTCAGGTCCCCTCCACCCACCCTCAGCAGACACCCATCACTGTGCTATGCGAGTGAGTGAGCATGGCGCATCTCTTCCCAGGGGGAAACATTGCTAGTGGAATGAGATCATTATAAAAACGAGTGGATCATGAGAGCTGATAAAACTAATACAGGAAAAATACAGTTACAAATAAGTTCACAGCAGAGGATCCAAACATAGGTTAGGGGGTTTGAAACAGTCTTTAAGGGAAGAGTAGTTGATCCACGAGTTTGTTCATGAGCCAGAGTGAAATGAGTAAACAGGCAAAGGCGAGTGAGGAGCGGAGCCTGGGGGACTAAGGAAGGCTCCGACAATGACGGTGAGTTAGACACTAGTGTGCACAAAGGAGACTTGAAGGGGTCGCAACCCGCTGAACGACTTCAGGCAGGAGAAGAGAGACAAAATCCAATTTCAGTTTCTGTAAATGATCAGGTAGCCTTGTTGGAAATGTATTAGAGGGGCGGGAGTTAGGGCAAGCAGTCAGGGGTGGGGGGAGGCCTGGTGCAGGTGATGTTTATTTGGTCTGTGATGGTGTCATGATGGAAGAAGGAAGAACAGGGAAAGGCATTTATTTAGGAGGCCATGCTGACTCAGTTGGCATAGGAGTGAATGTCTGGTGTCAAGGATGGTGGCCATGCTGACTCAGTTGGCATAGGTGTCGAGGATGGCGCCTTCAATTCTTTATACTACAATTAGTGACAATCTAGAGAAGTTCAGTTTTCAAGGGGAAATAAAAAAATGGATGTAATGAGTTGAGATTGTTTTGTGATAACTAGAAGTATAAAAACAAGCCACTAACCTACGGCTCAAGGAATGTGGAGGAAGAGGGAGCAGGAAGATTGTGAGAGTCAGAGAACTCAGGGTGTCATCTGAGAGATTGTGTCTTCAATTAATTAAGAACGGGGAAGCTACAGTCATGAACTCTCAACAATATGGCTTGCTAAACAAAACATCCACGATGACAGCACCAGTTGATATGCTTATATGGATGGGAAAACTTCACTAGGTTCTACCTCTAAATGAAGAGCTACAGGAAATTAATGGTTGCTAAGAGAGAATTAATCTTCTCCATGGCTGAGTCCCTTGATAGGTTATTCCAACCCCAAGTGGCCAGGACTACACATAGATACATATGAACAACATTAAATGGACAACTCTTAAGTGAACTCAGCAGGGGACACATGCTCACGTGTGCATATGTACACACACACACACACACACACACACACAAGACAACAATAAAGAGATCACAAATTTGAGAGGTTGTGGAGGACCCAGGAGGTGCTGGAGGCAGGGAGAAGAAAGGATAGAAATGATGTAAATAAGTACTCATGTATGAAATTGTAAAAAACTAGAATAAAGTAACTCATTGAGGTTCAGTGTTGGATCTGACCCAGAATACAAACTTGGGAATTATCAGTGCATGCAAAAAGCACACACATCTATTTTCAAAGTGAATGGATGTTTCACTCTTCCTAAATAGTTTCCCCTGTGGAATCATCAAGTATTTTTACCTACAGTGGGTAAAAAGAGGACTCCTTTTGGATGACTGTCATTTCTGTTTACTTACTGTTCTTGTTCCTTCATGAGTAATAATAATAAAACCAAACAACATATTGCATAATTTCAAGAAAATTGAGTTAAATATAGAGAAATTAAAACACATGAGTCTATGGGGATGATTTCCTTGTTGTTGGACCAAGTCACACTGAAAATACTGCTAAATCACTCTCTTAGGGATGACTTCTAATTGAGTTTGTGTTCCCATTTATGAAGACAAGAGAAAACCCCAGAGGCTGACTTCAACTACAAAGGCACTTTAGTGACTTGGAATGACTTCAGTCCCAAAGTTTCAGTCTGTCACTTGTTTCTGTGTGCTATGGGCCCCATTGACTAATGTAATTTGCCAAGTATGAGGTGTGTTTTTTTTTTTCCCCAGAAGGGCAATGTGGAAAAACTGTATAACTTTGTAAAGGATGTTTTCCCCCTTTAAAAAACAAACAAAAAGCACATATCTTCCCTAATACCCTGCTTCAGGCAGATTAATGACAAATCATATTTTCCATTTCCTTTCCAGGGACAAAGGACTTGATACGAACCCTGGCCAAAATAGCCTCATAGGATTAGATTGAGTAATGCGAAGAGACCAGAATAGACAAACTGAAGGTATGGTCACTGAGGGGAACCGTAGGAGTAAGCCTGGGGACTGGTTTTCAGATAGGGCGTGAGGATGTAGATGGGAAACGTGGGCAGTCAAGAGTTGAGGCCAGCAGCTCACCACAAGGAGTCCAGGAAAGGAAATGCCTAAATAGGATGCAATAACACAAAGATGTCCTGTGTTTCTTCCCCCAGATCTGGGCAGGTGTTGGATGGTATCCTCCCTTCCCCAGATCTGGGCAGGTGTTGGATGGTGCCCCCCTCTCCCCCAGAGCTGGGCAGGTGTTGGATGGTGTTTTCTCCCCCAGAGCTGGGCAGGTGTTGGATGGTGTTTTCTCCCCCAGAGCTGGGCAGGTGTTGGATGGTGTTTTCTCCCCCAGGTCTGGGCAGGTGTTGGATGGTGTTTTCTCCCCCAGAGCTGGGCAGGTGTTGGATGGTGTTTTCTCCCCCAGAGCTGGGCAGGTGTTGGATGGTGTTTTCTCCCCCAGGTCTGGGAAGGTGTTGGATGGTGTTTTCTCCCCCAGAGCTGGGCAGGTGTTGGATGGTGTTTTCTCCCCCAGAGCTGGGCAGGTGTTGGATGGTGTTTTCTCCCCCAGAGCTGGGCAGGTGTTGGATGGTGTTTTCTCCCCCAGAGCTGGGCAGGTGTTGGATGGTGTGTCACTCAGGACCATCTCAGAGCCCAGTCTCTTTGCTTCTCATCAGTACATTCTTATGAAATGTGTTCCTCGGCTCACCTGGATCCTTCCAGTTTTCTGTGGGCCAGCAGAGGTCCTGTTTCTCTGTTTCTTATGTGACCACTGGTAAGCTATTTAATTGTCCTTAACTCAATTGGGGTATAAATTTGTTTCCTAATCAGAATGCCAAAGCATTATGCTGTGTTGATTTCTGAAGGGACGTTTGGAAGCCCTCATGAGTCTTATGCTGTGTTGACTTCTGAAGGGACGTTTGGAAGCCCTCATGAGTCTTATGCTGTGTTGATTTCTGAAGGGACGTTTGGAAGCCCTCATGAGTCTTATGCTGTGCTGATTTCTGAAGGGACGTTTGGAAGCCCTCATGAGTCTTATGCTGTGTTGACTTCTGAAGGGACGTTTGGAAGCCCTCATGAGTCTTATGCTGTGTTGATTTCTGAGGGACGTTTGGAAGCCCTCATGAGTCTTATGCTGTGTTGACTTCTGAAGGGACGTTTGGAAGCCCTCATGAGTCTTATGCTGTGTTGACTTCTGAAGGGACGTTTGGAAGCCCTCATGAGTCTTATGCTGTGTTGATTTCTGAAGGGACGTTTGGAAGCCCTCATGAGTCTTATGCATGATGCTCTTTCCCCAGTAATTCCAGATAACTCAGTTAGCTCGTTTTTAAAAAATTCCCAGCCCCTCTTTAGGAAATAAATAAATTTAAAAATGCCATGCACCACGTTTGTTTTCTAGGAACATGCTTGAGGTTAGGAGCCATTTTTCCTTCTATTGCTTTATATATTTTGTGGAGCTAATGACAGTAATCACTAGTATTTAAGTCCATGGTTTTCAACCTGTGGGTCGTGACCCCTTTGGAAGTAGAATGGCCCCTTCACAAGGGTTGCCTAAGACCATCAGAAAACACAGATATTTACATTATGATTCATAACAGTAACGCTATTATAGTTATGAAGTAACATTGAAAATAATTTTATGTTTAGGGGGGTCACCACAGCATGAAGAACTGTATCAAAGGGTTGCAGCATTAGGAAGGTTGAGACCCACTGATGTAAGTGCTTATTATATTCCAGACACCTAGCTTATTTCTAATTTCCATCGAAAATTTTTCAGTAGGGATGTTGCTTATATTTTAGGCTTAGAAAGTATAATCTGTTCATGGATAGACTCAGGGAAAGCTAAGGCTGCTATCAGAACTCAGATCTGAATTCTCTCCACACTCTAGGTGACCTTAAAATTACTGTTGATTTCAATACTATGATTGCTGCTTCTATAATTCGCACTCTTCATCTCCTAGAGCTTTATGATCATCTCTAGAAGAGGGTGGGGTTGGGGGAGAGGGAGAAAAACACCTTGTGCCTTTTCATCTCGCAAGGGAAATAAAGCCTCAAGTCTTTGCTTTTGTCTGCATTCTTTTTCTCTTTATCAATCTTGGTTCTTCTCTTTGTTTACAAACACTCAAGTATAAAAAATATAATTTCTTCTATTTCAACTGTTTCCCTCCCTTCCTTGATTTAATTCTCATGTGAATGTTTGGGACTAATTTATGGGAAGCACACACACACAGAGACACACGGAATTTTAAGTCACATGTGTGTGTCTGTGCCTGTGTGTGTTAATACACATGAATGCAAATTCTCAGAGAAGCCAAGAGAGTTCCAGGCTCCCTGAACTGGAGTTACAGGCACTTGTGAGTTGAGAAACAAGAGGATTGGGACCCTAGTGTCCTCTGTAAAAGAAGCAAGCACTCTTACCCACCTCGCCATCCAATCCTTACACACAGAGTTTTACAAAGCAATTTTTACAGCTTCTCTTGAGATTGAACTATATCACTTCCTCTTCCCATTCCTCCCACTACTTCTCCCGTGAACTCCTCCCACACTCTCTTGCATGGCCTCTTTTTCTTTAATCACCTGCCTACCTATCTATCTATCATCTATCTATCCATCTATCATCTATCTATCCATCCATCCATCCATCCATCCATCCATCCATCCATCCATCTATCTAACCATCCATATAGATGAAAGAGACATATACACAGATGTATATACTCACTAATGTGTAAACACAACGTGCTCAGTCTGTGTGATGTTACATGTATATTTGCTTCAGGGTTGACCATTGGTGTGCACGTTCTGCCGCTCTTGGCATTCCTCAGTTGTCCATAGTCCTTTGTCTAATGCTGAGGCCTCATGAGCTTTCCCTCTTCTGTGTAGCGTGTCTGTTGGCACTGTTCCTCTTTGGGTCATGTTTAGACAACCATGGTGGTGAGACTTCATGGTTGTACCTTCTGAAATTTCCAGGAGACACACTCTCGCAGCAAACTCCCCATTTCTCTGACTCTTAGAATCTGCCCTCCATACAGTATATTTTAGAGGAGAAAATCAATGGGTTATAACAAATTCATTGTTGATGGTAACCAAGCTAAATTTTTATGCTTGTGCGTGTGTGTGCATGTACGTGTGTGTGTGTGTGTGTGTGTGTGTGTGTGTGTGACTATGTGTGCCTTTGCATGGAGAGTCATATCAGCAGGCCAGAAGGAGAGCCAAAGCCAAAAGTGCAAGACTCAGATGAAAATACAACTCTTTGCCTGGAATTGAGGTGCCAACTTGTATAAAAGGAAAACAGGAAGTCCTATGAGGGTGCACATAATTAATTTTTGGTTAACACTGAGGATCCTGAAGAACTGTGTATTCTTATTCCAAAGGGGTCCGGCGTTGAGCATGCTCTCTAGCCATGCTCACAAGTTGGAGTCCCAGATCCCAAGGGCTTTGGGAGCAGATTGGTGAGAGAGTGAAAAGGAAGTTGGAGGAGGTTTATTTGTAATAGAGACCCTGCCCTAACTTCCTGAACTGAAACAAGTCTAGACTTTTTTTCCATTTTACACAATGTCCGAAGCAGAATAAATTTATTAAAAGCAAATAAACCGGGGGCTGAGTTTTGGCATGAAAAGTCAGACAGGAATAGAGTCAGCTGCTGTGGAGTTCCGTCTCCAGACTGATCTGTAAACCAGTAGGAGGTTAAAGCTGCTTTGGCCTTAACTGAACTGAAATTATTTTCATGACCAGAGGACAAAAGAGAGGCCAAACATCTGGCCTAGTCAAGGGTCCATCCATTCACTCTCCTTTCCCTTCAGTTTTCCAAACTCAGAATGTTAGTATGAACCTTTATGATCACTTTTCTCATGGCTTTTTGTGTACATGACACTTAGTCTTAGAGAAATCATTCACCCCTAAATTACCAGGGTCTACAAATGGGAGGCCCAGTTCTGTGTCCTATGGGAAAATCAGCACAGGAATAATTTCTTATGCACGCATTGGGGCATTGGGTCACAGAGCTCATTCTCTATGAGTTGTTAGATCTTCAGACTGTCCAGTTTCTCTCTTCAGGATCACCTCAGGATCTAGGCACAGTGAGGGCATGTTTATGGAGTCATAGTTCCTAGGAATTTCTGAGCCCAGGCCAAGATCAGCATGGATTTTTATATCTCAGAATGTTTCCCGTTCTCTGTTTGCTTTTGTCCCCCATGTACACATGGAAAGAGAGAAGGCTCCTTTAGCTCTGTTTCACATGGAAGAAGAATGGGGCACAACAGTAGCCCTGAGTTGAAGTTAGTGAGAAAGACAAAATTAGAGTCCTCATCTCTCTTGTTTTCATTTTCTTCATAACAAGACACACTTTTCCCCCATTTCCACCATTAAGATGAATTAGGAAAGTTGTACAGTGAATGAACACTGAAAGGAATGCATACTTTATGATCATTTTTGTGAACAATGAGGACTCTAATATATATATATATATCTGTGTGTGAACCAAAACATCACATTATAGTGTATACATATGTATAATTATTGTTTTTTTAAGATTTATTTATTATGCACAGTGTTCTGTCTGCATGTTTCCCTGCACACTGGAAGAGGGCATCAGATTTCATTATAGATGGTTGTGAGCCACCATGTGGTTGAAGACCAGTCAGTGCTCTTAACCTCTGAACCATCTCTCCAACCCCCATGTATAATTATTGTTAATGAGAATACTCATGGATGTCTAGTGTCCATCTCCCAGTGGCAGACACAGAATCTAGAAGTTGGCAGTCTGTGGTAGCGTGAACCCAGTGCACTCAGTTGTTGCCTGGAGAAACAACTTCATTCTTAGGTGATTTCTCCATTCTCTTGAAATACTTCATTTTCAGACAACTGTGACCTTTTCTCTAATCCCCGAGGTTCAGTCTCTCTATAGGAAAGAAAACTGGGATGTTAATCACAAGGGCTTTTGTTGTGATGTATTATTTATGACTTAATAAAGCTTGCCTGAGGGTTTCAGAATGCAAAACTAGCCACAAGCCATAGAGATCTGGCAGTGGCGATACACACTTTAATCACAGCAGTCATACTAGCAAGCTGTAGAGTCAGGTAGTGGAGACACTCACCTTTAATCTAAGGACTCAGGAGACAGGCAGAGGGATCTCTCTGAGTTCAAGGCTATGCTGGCCTACACAAGAGTGATGATTAGCAGAGCTCACACTTTGATCTCAGCATGAGGGAGGTAGAAAAGGAAGGAGTCTCATGTGGAGACTTAGTTTCCAGACAGGGATTGCTATTGTCTGTGAGGGTTAGGGGAGAGAGTATTGCTCTCTGAGGATTCCTGGAGTCAGGATCACCCTTACAGCCTGAGGTAGAGGTAAGTGCTAGTGGCTGGCTGCTTTGCTTATCTGCTGGGTTTTTATTTTTCACATTACAGTCTTGAATGTCCTTCGTTTAAGGGGTGGTTCCTTTCAGGAACCCGCTCAGGAATTTGCAGAGGAACAGAGAGATTAGTTCCTCACACACAACAGTCTCCGCTGTGGTTTGGATTCTGTTTTGTTTGGTGACTAAGATCTGTTGCTACTAATACATGCCCTTTTTCAAATGTTCCTTCTGGGATCCTGTCTGATGGTTATCACAGCTTCCCATATACATTCCTTGGGTATCAAAGCACAAATGTCTTATAATTTTAGTCCTAAAATTTCTCTCTCTGCTCAGAAATTGGAAACATTGTGTTCAAACCAGACATTTTGAAAACTATGCACTTAGTGACTTAAGGTTTTAGAAAATGACTGCACTAAGAAACCAATCTGTGATTAAAATCACCCAGTGTGGGGAGGGACAGCTTTCTCCTTGAGGCACCCTGGGAAAAGTTGAGCATCCTCTCATTTGACAAATTAAAAATGAAAGATGGTAGTGGAGAGATAGAATCCGCTGGCAGCTCTCAAAGACAGCTTTAGTAAATGAACATTTTAGCGCATGGTCTGGCTAGCTCAGTTCTGTCCAGATGGAGCCTTACTGACGCCCCCCTTCCCCCCAGTCAATAGCTGGATCAGTGAGAGCAACAATTCCCGACCCTGACTCTAAGTCAGCAACACCTCTGGCAGCATTTCACAATCATGTCAGTACCTTAGCACAAACCACTCTGCCTTCCCACAAACCCCTCCTACTTCCACTGTTGACTGACAGCCTCTTCCTGCTCCAGCTTCCGCTGTATCGTTAGTGGTGACCACAAAAAATATGGGAGGTGAATAGGATGAAGTCAGTCTAAGAGAGGAGTATTGCCAAATTCTCATTTTCACCGAGATGTGTAGTGACCAGCCTCCCCGTTTTAGCAGCCATGACAGGCTAACATGTGCTTCCATGACCTTGCCGCTCCTGTCCTGGTCACTAGGAGGTCAGATGTCCTCCTTGTGGCAAGGAGCCATCAGAAGTTAGCTGGTGGGGCTGTGCTTACGGCTCTGGGTGTCCTTTACAGACAAGTGCACAACAGTGATGTGCAGAGCATAGCAACTGCCCTGGGAGGGCCTATGGGCCATAACAACCAGTTGACCAATCAACACAGGCAGGTCATCCAAACTTAGAAGCGCACCAGTCCTGAGACTGTTTCATACCCCTAGACACTCCCCTTACACTGCCCTTTAAGATCCCTGCCTCGAGGTTGCTTGGGGTATTTCTCCAGCCATCCGCCATGGTGGTGGGGTGAAGGGCCCGAGCTAATGGGTTTAGCTCATTAAATAACTTTAATAAAAGACTCTTTGCTTTTGCATCGCAATGGACCTCTTGGTGATTTTGGGGTTCAGAATTTGGGCACAACAGATGTGCTTGCCAAAGTGTGGTAGGGTGGAGGTTACACACATCACTCAGGTAATCTCTTTGAGACCAATACGACTCCAATGGCCATAGAAGTTGCAGGAAACATCAGAACCTTTTACGTACTGTTCAATGTGTATCTATTTCCTCTCAGACACTCCCATTCCTACATACTCTCCTCTGTGCTCAGTTATGATGTTGTCTCTTAACTTACTGGAAACTTTGCTGCATGTAACCACCTGGGGTTACTGTGAGGGCTAAAGTTATGTTTTAATTACTGTGCTTAAGAGATTTATGAAACAAGGGGGCTGGAGAGATGGTTCAGCGGTTAAGAGCACTGGCTGCTCTTCCAGAGGTCCTGAGTTCAATTCCCAGCAACCACATGGTGGCTCATAACCATCTGTAATGAGATCTGGTGCCCTCTTCTGGCCTGCAGGCATACGTGAAGTGCTGTATACATAATAAATAAATTCTTAAAAAAAAAGAGATTTATGAAACAAAACTGCCTCTAACAAAGTGGGTAAGCCACATTTGCCCAAGGACAGATAACTTCCTAGAATGCTGGGAGTGTTGTTCATGTAAGATAATGAGACACATGTTTTCACTTCTGTAAACAAGGTTGGCTGCCCCAACTGTACAGGATGTGCTTGATCACATGTAGGCGGGAGGCATATAGCATGAAGTACATCAGGATGTATGCTTGTCCTCATTGGGCGGAGGTGGGAAGTAGATAGATAGCCTGGTGAGTTTTGCCTTTGTAAGCACCTGACTAACATACTTTTCAGTCATTCTTTGGGAATCACGGGTATGGACCTGGCCAGTATTTAATAAAGCTTGCTTCAAATTTGGTTCAAAAATAGTGTTAGTGGTCTTATTCTCACCCAGTGGGATTAACACTATATCCTAGGGAAAGGAGATGGGAGGAGGCAGAAACAGAGACTTCTGAGCTTTTAGGAGAAAGGAGGAAAGAATGGGCCACCGGTGGGGTTTCTGTCAGTAGGAAGGGTGACATTTGAGAAGGGCCAGGAACAGGAAACGGATTCAGGAAGTGGTTACTGGCAACGTGTGATATCCAGGGAAAGGATATTTAACAAATTATAAGAGACTTAAAGATAGTTAGTTGGTAAAAATTAACATTATGGTCTGTCTACAGCCAAAATCTAACACCAGTGCTTGCTAACTTGTAGTTTCTGTTTTCTTTTTGTTTTCTGTTGTCATTATAAAATATGTGACTGCCTGTTGGGTACATTAGAAATCCAGAGCATACCACAAAATTCAGATGATCAAGGAGAGAGGGGAGTGAAGTCAGAATAGATTTCATCTATTCCCTCCCTCATTTATCTTTACCTTGTGGTAGCTGGCCAATAAATGCTCGATGAAGGGGTGAGTGGGAATTCTCACTGTGACATTAGAAGTTTGCTCTGGTTCTTTCCTGTTTGTTTGCTTCTGAGGACATGGTCTTGTGGCGTCTCCTGGATCCTAGATGGGCCTGGAGCTCCTTAGATGTGGATGACCTTGAATTTCTGCCTCTTCTGCCTCCACCTCCTGAGTGCAGAGATTAGCAGGAGTGAGCCTGAGTTATGTGGTGTCGGTGATCAGACCTGGGCTAATGGCATTTCGGGCTTGTTGGACATGGACTCTGCCAGTTAAGCTACATCCCTAGCCCTACTCTAGTCCTTTCTATGATGATAACAAAGACGTGTTTTTTTCCTACCACAGTCAATGAGGTATCTTACATTCTTTAAAAAATATTAAATAAAGCCATCTTGTTTTTAGGAGCTGCATAGCATCTACCTGTGATGTTCAGTATTGGAGTAACCAGGCCTGGTCCTCATTTTTCAACTTGGGACAGTTCCACAAGACATCATAGCATAAAGATTCCCATGGGACAGTCTAAGACGTTATTATATTTTCCTTCTGTCCAGCCCTACTTCCATTTCAGTACAACTCCCAAGAGCTTCCCCCAGTAAACTTCCTGCAAGGGAATTTAGTCTCTTAACCTTCTCCCTGGGCAATATGAGCTGTAAGTACAACCCATTTGCTATTTTTAAAATTCTTACTTCGCCACAACTTGAATTATGTCAAACATGTTCTTGCTTCCTTGAACCTAGGCGAGTACTGTGTTGCCATATCAAGACCAGTGGGTCTATTGTAGAAATTGAATGTTGTCATGAAGACCTGAGTAATTATTTGGAGAGTTAAATAGTAACATTCAGCTCTCACATGACCTTTTATATCCTGCAGGAGTGGCCTGGCCCTGCCTAGCTCTTCTGTCACCCATGCCTTCCCACCACGAGTCAACCTTTTCACAGTCAAGTTCACAAAAATACCCAGCTCTGATTCCATATCAGGAAATGATTTATCTTAGAAACAATTTGAATGGGGCTAAATATTTCATGTTTGTAGATATGCTTTTGAAATTCATTTGTTTCTTTGATTTTCCTCCCTATGGTTCCTTTCCCCCAGGGGTTCAGATCCTTAAAGATCTCGGGCTTAGCCCCAACCTCTTCATGGTCTCCATGTCTCCATCTCTCCACGCAAAGTCTGTTCAGCCAGGAACTAGGGGGTCAGGCCCATTCCACTTCCTGCTTTGTTGTTTTCTTCAGAGAACTGGTATTTTTAGAAAGGTGAAATAAACAGGATTAGCTTCAAATGTTGTGAAATGTGGTTTGTCCATGAGGAACCTTTTCCCTTTTCTGGTCGATTTTCATTGTGGCTCCCCCTCCATCCCTGCAGACTTCTTGGGCCATAGCTCACTTCCTGTTAGTTGTTCCCCACAGTGTACCTCTTCTGGTTGATCCAGCCCTGTCTGTGGCCCAGACAGTCTGATAGCTTCCGTGTTCCACTGTGTTATCTGCTCAGTGGCTCTTCATCCAAGGCCAAGCATACGTCCATCCTTCAGGGTGCAACTCTGCTTGACACCTTATTAGCTAGTTAATAAGTATTTAAGTTAATGATTGAGTATATGAATAAATGATGCTTTCCCATACTACATAACACCCACCCCATCCTTCACCTGCCCCAAACATCTGTATTAATACAGGTTTAGCGAACACAGTCTTCCTTTCAGGCATGACACAGTTAGGTGAGCTGGGAGAGGGGCTCTATGGCAAATGCACCATAGGATAATTTATAACTACGATGCTGTGACTTCTGAGACCTCACTGGCCCTAGAAAATCTGCCCTTCCCAGGAACATGGGTAGACAAAGAGGACAAGAAGAATGAGATTTAAACTTAACCTGCTTGTTATGGCCTCTGAGCATAGGATAATGTGTAAGATAGTTTCTCCTAAGCCCTTTATAATTCCCTGCTGTTGTACTGAGCTCTTCTCTATGGGAGAGTGTGATGGCTAGCCTTGATTGTCAACTTGACTACATCTGGAAATGGAAGGCACACTTGAGAGATTTCTTGCTTCTTGTTTCTTCTGGTCTGGGCCTTTGAGGTAGGAAGTCACACACCAATGATCCAGATCTCAAGCAGGGAAGGCACATGTCTTTAATTTGAATCTTCAAGTGGGAAGACACACATTTAATCTGGACCACATCTGCTGGAAGCCTATATAAGGACATGGAAGGAAGATTTTGACTGCTTGCTCTTGCCCTGGCTAGCAAGTCCATTTCTTCACTGGCATTAGGGCTTACTTCTTCAGGGGCCTACCGAAGACCAGTTGAGACACTCAGCCTTGTGGACTGAGCAACTTCTAGATTGTTGGACTTTCTATTCATAGCCCGCCAATATCAGATAAGTTGGTCCATAACCTGTAAGTGATTCTGATAATTCCCATATCTATACCTATAACATGTACTCTTTACCGCCAGCTGCCTGGGTCCCCCTGCTGCCTTAGCCCCCAAATAACACATGAGACACTATATTATGAAGTTGTTGGCCATTTGCTATGGTTTCTTAATGGCTAGCTCTGACTTAATTATTAACCCATAATTACTAATATATATTTTTATAAGGTCTTATCTTACCAAGAACACCAGACTTGCTTCCTCTCCTCTCGGGATCACATGGCGACTCTCCACTCTTGACTACATTTCGCAGAATGCTCCTCGACTCCTAATCCCACCTATCTTGCTTCCCTATTGGCCAACAGTGTTTTACTTACCAACCAATAGGGCAAACATATACACAGAAGGACTTCCCCCATCATGTAACTATACCTCTATCTATCTATCTATCTATCTATCTATCTATCTATCTATCTATCCATTTTGGAAGTTCTGCTACTCTAGAGAACCTTGACTAATGAAGTTACCTGTGGATTCCAGGGTTGCTGAGGCCGAACTCATGTACTTACAAAAATGACTATTGCTTTGGTTTAAAAAGTATCATGTTTGGTAAAACAAATTTTTTCCCCTCTGGATCCTAGAAATATCTTCTCTATTTTCCGGGAATTCCACAATAGTGTGCATGAGATTAGTATGAGTTTTTCCTCAATTTACGAGGTCTCTCTACGCAACACTCGAGAGTCAGAGGCACTTAGCTGGTGGCAGGTGTCCTGCCCTCCTTGAGGGAGCAGCTATCGTGTTTGCTTCAACAAATCAACTCCTACCGAAGCTCTGTGTCTGTCTAAGGAGATGGATGACTCCGGGATCATGGAATCCAAGGGCACCAGGGCTCGCCAATTCCTACAGATATCAAACAAGTCACCCGCTATTCATATTTCCAATACAAATTAATCACACAGAGTCTTTACCCCGCCTAACTTCTTGATGGGATTTTATGCTCTAACTTTCATCCTGTTGTCCTAGTCACCCCAGAGTCAAGGTCTGGGCAACTAAGGGCAGCACCTATGCCTGTGAGCCTGGGAATACTGTTCGACTAACTTCTTACCTTCCATTTCCTAGCCAATTCTTCCTCATGGAAACTACTGTGAAGGCTTTTGGCCACACTTCCCTGTTGCTCATACTACCATCTAAATACTGGAAGTGCTTCTTTTGTATACTCTCCCCCAGGGCATAGTGACCTCTTACTTCTTGAAATTTCTGCATAACCAGTAACCCTAACACTGGCAATTGTTTTCTGATCTGGTGGCCTCACCATGCTGAGTAATAATGAAAGTGAGTTAAAGACAATTATCTCCAGAATTTACCACCAGGAAGCCTCATTCATTTGAGGAAGTCAGGAAGGGAGACCTCTCTGTTTCCATAAGTTGTGACAAATGGAGAAACGACATGATATAGAGAAGGAATACCGTGTCAAGGTTTTTAGACTTTATGTGTATCATCACCCTGGAATCCCAAAACATCCCACGTAAACTACTTTATCATCCTCAACAAGCTTTAAATTAACCTTCAGGGACAAAAAAAAATTATGGTTCTCCCAAAGTCCAGAAGAAGTCAAATCCAAACTTCCCTGTTATGCTGTTTTGCCTGTGTGTAGGCCTCCATAATAGTCTTCCTGGTCTTCCAAATTCTTCCTAGTTCCAAGGGGTCACAGTATATTTCATACCACAAAGAAAGGGTGAGCTTTTACCAGTGAGAGCTAATAATGAATCCACAGCACAGAACATCTGAGATGTCCCTAGATGTTCCAGCAAAGGCACAGTCTCAGGTAATGAATGTAGAGTCTTAGGGAATGATTAACCAAAGTCAAGAAAGCATCTAGAAATGGCAGAAGCTAGAGTAGACCCCAGATTTATTAACAGAAATCTCTTTTGCCATTTTTGGCTTCCCATACTTGTAGTCCCAGCACTTGAGAGGCAGAGTCAGGAAGGTCTTGGTTTGAAGCCAACTGTTTATACAGGGAAAAAAACCACAGAGGTTTGGTGATATCTTGCTTGTACAAATAAAGCCTGTCTGAAGGTCAGAGAATGGAGTTTGCTGCTAGCTAACCATAGAGGTCTGGAGGTCTGTACAGGCACACAAGAAGGAGATGACTGGGCAGGGAGAGGATATAAGTGGACAGAAACAGCAACTCACTTTTGTCTGATGAGACACTAAGGAGGTAAGGAGTGTCTGGCTGTGGCTTGCTTCTTCTTCTCTCTGATCTCAGCATTTTCCTCTATATCTGACTCAGGGTTTTATTACTTAGACCAACTTAGAACTCATTTTACACGGAGTCCTCAAGTAAACACGCACATAACCCAAAGTCTCTTCTCTCTAAAGGAATTTCATCCTCTGGTCTTGAGTCCTCAAAGTTACAAAGAACAGGATCAGCACTGACGAAGACATGGAGAATTCCTGGCAGTTTTGAAGAGCTATGAGCTGATAAGGAGTAATTTGGTTGAACACTACAAATATGCAAACATAAGCACACAAGACGACATATGACAAAATTGCAACAAAATACCATCAACCAGCAAAATAAACTGCTGTTTTGTTGATATCTATGAGGTCTGTGTTGACTATCAGCATATGAGGGAGGGTATGTTAGGATAAAAAATCAACCCATTATTAATATAATTCTGGAGCTGTACTAAAGCTTGCTGTACTGCTATTTTAAGCAAGAAATAGAAAAATTTGAGGCAAAAGGGGAGAATGATAATGGTGAAGTGATAAGTACATTGGAAATGAAAATGATAAAAGGTTGGATTGCAGGGGAACTGGAGACCATGTAAATGGGCTTTAAAGTAACCAGGAGATCCCCCTGAGGGTGTGGCTAAGTGATAGAGCACCCACCTAGCATACACAAGGCCCCAAGTTCAATTCCTAATAGCACCACAAGGAAAAAATAAAAAAATATGGAGTTGAAGGTGCTCTTCAGACAGTGTTTCTCAACCTGTGGGTCACGACCCCATTGATTTTGACAGTGTGGAATGACTCTTTCACAGGAGTCACATATCACATATCCTGCAATCAGATGTTTACATTATGATTCGGCAAAATTACAGTTATGAAGAAGTAATGAAAATGATTTTATGGTTGGAGGTCACCGCAACATGAGGAGCTCTATTAAAGGGTCACAGCATTTGGAAGGTTGAGAACCACTGCCTTAGGAGATGCTGACAAGGCAGTGTTAGAGTTTTCAGAGTTGCAAGGAAAGACATCCTAAGGGGCTGGGAAACGTCACCCAGTAGAGGATCATCCATCAGAAAGAAGTCCTGAGTGGAAATGTCAGCATGTCAAAGAAGCATTCTGGGATGAGCCTGTTTTGTGCTCCTGTGCGGTCCTGGGGTGGACCTGGTGACCCCCTCAAGCTCCTAGTTCCTGTGCCACTGCAGGAGTTGCTTTCATGGTCTCCTTTCCAGCCACTGACCACGCCCAGAGGTTAGACCACAGAAAGGAACAAGCAACCGTTTCACTCCCTGGCTCTCACTCGGAGCCGTCCTTCTGTTCAGCGGTGGGTTTTCAGCTCTTCAGCACTTAGGCACTTTTCCTTAGAGCCAAGGGCTCGGAGGGGGCGGGAAGGCTGCGACAATGTACCATCTGTGTGTTGACAGTAACAGCCTGTGAGCCAGCTACCCACGGCCAAACTCCTCTGTGGTCCTCCACACCGCACACCTTACTGGCAGTAACGGTGGTCAGCCCCAGCACGCCCTGGCGCCAAATGCCTACCCCCGCTTCTGTCTATCCCTAACCTTTTACCTAGTTGACTCCCGGGGTCCTTTGCCACATTTGTATCAATCGTCACGCAGGATGGTCAGGTCCCACCACTCATCCCACCCACACAGGGAACAACACATCAGTGGGTCGTGACCTAAAGGGAAACAGAGCCCTGGAGGGCGCGGCATGTACCGCTGAGTTGGGCAGCTGGGTTCCCTCCAAAGGGTTTGGCTTCTTTTACCAGCGCTGGACTTTATTTATTTCCTGGGCTGCTGATTTACACGGGGAGCTGCAATCGCTAGAAACTTGGAGACATCGTTTAACTTTTGGAGGGAAAAATAAAGCCCCAAACATGTTTTTGTTCCTGGCCCCAAGTCAGAGAAGGAGGGTGAGGCTTCTGTCCCTGGATGACCCCAAAGGAAAAGGAACTGCGGTATAAGCCGTGTGCAGGGTACCGGAGCAGTGTCAGTGACACACCAGAACAGCCTCTCTCTAGGAACGCTCTCCTTCATGGAGTCTCCCAGGCCTCTCTCTCCTCAGGACCCGCTCACAGTAAGAAACTAGGCGGTGTGAAGGAGAGGACGGGATGTTTAAAACTAAGGGGACAAGAAAGGGAGACGCTCAGACACAAAGGGAGCAGCTGCCCTCCCAGCCCTTGTTGGAACACCGGGTGTTAACTGGTAGGGAGATTCCAACGGCCCCTTTTTATTCAGCACAGAAAGGCATCCATCGCAGTGAGCGGAAGTACCAGGGAGAGCTCAGAGCTCCTCCTTCCCCGCATCCGTGTCTTCTTCCCCATTGTGATCTCTCTGAAAAACACAGTGATGCAGATTTAACTACTCCTGAAAAACCTTAAGTCCACCTTCACTTTGAACCGCTCAACTCTTCTATTGTTAATATATATATATTTTTAAAGAGGTCTCACTTTGCGGCTCTGGTTGGACTTAAACTTATAATGTACCCCAAGCTGGCTTCTGTGGCAATCTACCCGCCTCAGCCACCAGAGTACCTGGCGTGAGCCACACCATCATGCATGAGCTCTTTATACAGGATTTCAGTTATTTCACAATGGACCTTGAACAGAAAATGGAGAAATCCCAAATTGAGTTTGCATAGACAGACCCCTTGCGGAGTGTTGTCCCGTGGACTATCTGCTCAGAGTCGCCCTGCTTTGGAATGACACGACACAGAGGCGGGCAACAAGTGCCCCACACTCACCAGCAAGGTCCCCTTTAGGAAGCCATCGCAGAAGCCTTGGACTTTCTCCACTGTAACTTCTGTGATGGGCAGAGTGTCCCACTTGTCATCCACACTTTCGTAAATGGCCAAAGCCGGCAGCTGAGACTCCTTTAGTTGGAAGTAGGATATCACCTTTCGGTTTTCCCCTCTGCCGCTGTCCACCAGAACAAAGAGGATCTGTGGTTGGGGAGAAAAGGTCCAGCTGAGAGCCTGGGGACAGAGAGACACTAGTAGTTGCTGTCACCACACAGATTGAATTTATGGTTTGTCTCACGTAATTTAGTCTAAGTTAAAGCCTGGCATGATGGAGCACACTTGTAATTCCGACCTTTGGGAGGCAGAGGTAGGAGGACCGGGGTTCAAAGTCACATTTAATATCAGCAAGTCAGCAAGTCTGAGGCTAGCCTGGGCTACATAAGACCACCTCCCCTGTTGAGAGATGCCTTTTTCTTTGCCAGCAGCATTGGTTTTTTCCCCACCAGTCGCCTGGGCTCTGCCATGTTGTAGTCCCCAAATAACACACAAGACACTGTATTAATTATGAAGCTGTTGGCCTTGCTTGTTTCTTACTGGCTAGCTCTGATTTAAGTATTTAACACATAATTGTTAATCTAAGTATTTCTCTTACCTGAGAAAAGTTTCCGGGCTTCTTACCCCTATGGCGGTTACACTTGACTCCCTGTGTTTCTCCTACCCAGAGTCCTCCTGGACTCCTAGTCCCACCTATCTTGCTTCCCTATTGGCCAACAGTGCTTTATTGACATATACACAGGACTTCCCCAACACTCCCCCCAAACATGTCTTGATAAAATTAAATGAATTTGAAATTTATTTTTGTTGCTTTGGTGTTTTATCCCTTTAGTCAAATTTAGCTACAAGAATTTTGGCTAGTTGTGGTGGCGCATGCTAGTTCAGTTTGCTGAAGGAGGAGGAAGCAGGAGGATCATGAGTTCAAGGCCAGCCTGTGCTATACATTTTTGGCAGTGCATGGTGGTACACGCCTTTAATCCCAGCACTTGGGAGACAGAGGCAAGTAGTTTTCTGTGAGTTTGAGGCCAGCATAGTCTACAAAGTGAGTTCTAGAACAGCCAGGGCTGTTACACAGAGAAACCCTGTCTAGAGAAACCAAACTAAAACAAACAAACAAATGAGAAAAAATTGTAACTCGGGGTTAGAGAGATGGCTCAGAGGTTAAGGGTGGGTACTGTTCTAGCAGAGGACCCAGATTTGGTTCTGAGCACATCAGACCAGGTAGTTCACAAGCCCCTGTAACTCCAGCTTCAGGAGATTCAACACTCTCTTATAATCTCTCTGGGCATCCTCATCCCTCCCCTCCCCCCCCCACTGAAAATTTTTTAAAAATCTTTTAAAAAAGAATTTGGACTTTGAAGACGTGTTGATAACTAAGTAAGAAAGTCTAGCCTGGTGATTAAGGGCAGAGAGTGAGGTTACATTTGCTTCCGTCTTCCTAGCTGTGTGATTTGTGACTGAGTGTCTCTGAGACTCTGTTTTCTTATCTGTAAAATGTACTGGAGGGGCAGAGACAAAAAGAAATGGTGCCTTTGGCAGTTGTGGTGCTTAGTATGAGTTTGGTAAATGTTATTTTCTAGACATAGTTTAAGAACCCCAGCCTCAGTGGCTCCTAGAGTAACAGATAATACTCTCCTTTGCTTCACGTACACACTTAGAATATAATATCTAACAACAAAACCATTGTAATCATATGTGACAGTAAAAGCCCTTTAAAGTGCATGGGTTGTTTACTTCTAGAATTCTCCATTTACTACTTTGAGCCCATGGTTGGCTGGGTAACCAAAACATAGAAAAGGAAACCACAGATGAGCTGGGGAGCTGGGTAGGGGGCTGTTCCTTAAGTCAGGTCTACCCAAGGTGGAAATCCTTGTGGTCTTCTGAACAGAGGGTTGTCTGTGTTCAGTGCTCCCCATGTCAGGGACCAGTCCTCCCCAAGACAGCTTATGTGATGGCTCTCCTTAGAAAGGCCTCGGGTTAGGTTCTGCAATGCAGGGGTAGATGAAGATGGCTGTTGCAGAGATTTCAAGCAGAACTACACCCAGGAGGGTTGGAAGAAGAGAAGGAACCCTGGAGACCTTGAAGTAGGCCTCTGGTGCTCTGTAGGTACTCATGTGGGAAGTAATCTCTGCTCTCTGTCCCAGCCTTTGGAGGCTATAGTGAGTAAACAGATTCCAACTAGGTATTTTTACGCTTACAGTCTCCCCACATATCAGTCTTCCTGTGGTGTGTCTATTCTCAACCTACCTGTCCCTGGAAGAGCTTAGCTGCTTCCCGGTATCTCTGCATGCTCTCTTCATATTCCGGGGAAGCCTTGTTCATCATCAGGAGAAGGTGAGTTTGAACCCTGGTGTTAAATAAGCCAGTTGCAATCTGGGAAATTAGATGTGTCATAGGAGAAGAGTAATAAGAGGGAGAAGGAGAGGGGAGGGAGAGGGAAGCAGACATATTTACAGAGGGACAGAGGAATGCCAGTGCAATGAGCAGAATAACACAAATGCAAATGGCTTCTAAGATGGCGCTTAAAAATTTACAACCTTGAATGTTATCAAAACCCATTGTATGCATGGACAGAATTATCAAATAGTAAAATACAAATATTTCCAACAAGTAAAATGAACTGATAGGGTTAAGACCACCTTAATCCTTGTTGTAGAGGACAATGGCCTGGTTCCCAGCACCCATGTGGTGGCTGACAACTGTCTGGAACTCCAGATCCAGAGGATCTGATACCCTCTCTGGCATCCTCTGGCTCACACACACATGTGGTGCACACACATTTACTCAAGCACATACATATATACATAAAATTTATTGAATATCCTTTTAAAAAAGTAGAATCATCTGGGGGCTGGAGGGACACCTTAGCTATCCTTGCACAGATCCTGAGTTTAGCTCCCAGCATCCATGCTGGGTAGATCTTAACTGGCTTTAATTACGGCTTCAGGGGATTTGAGCCCCTCTCCTGGTGTCTACAAGGCTCTGCATGCATGTGGTGCACATACCACTCAACAGATAAACAACAAGCACATAGTTAAAAATGGTGAAAATGCATCTTAAAATTAAGTGTAACCATCTGGTTTTCAGGCCACTGCCCTCCACTAAACAACCAAATGGAGTAGCTAAGAGGACATTGTAGACTTGATGGAAAGGTCAAGTTTAAGTCACAAAATCTATAACTGTTGGCTATGCCCTTTACTCTGGGGGCAGTCAGCCCAGTATGGGGCTGTCAGGGAACCTTAAGGATGTATTTATACAGTAATAGAAGCCTAAGGATGGATTTAAGCAACAACAGGAGCCCTAAGAATGGATTTATACAGTAGTAGAAGCCCTAAGGATGGATTTATGCAGCAACAGGAGCCCTAAGAATGGATTTATGCAGTAAGAGAAGCCTAAAGATAGATTTATACAGCAACAGGAGCCCTAAGAATGGATTTATGCAGTAAGAGAAGCCTAAAGATAGATTTATACAGCAACAGGAGCCCTAAGAATGGATTTACACAGTAGTAGAAGCCCTAAGGATGGATTTATGCAGCAACAGGAGCCCTAAGGATGGATTTATACAGTAGCAGAAGCCCTAAGGATGGATTTATGCAGCAACAGGAGCCCTAAGGATGGATTTATCCTGCAGCAGTAACCCTAAGGATGGGTTTAAGCTGCAACAGCAAGAACAAGTTGCTGGCTTCCACCTAGCTGCTTCCGCATTGGCAGGACCTGCAGATGATGTCAACCTGGCAAATGGCTGCAATCTGTCCAGAGACCCAGATGTCCAGAAGCATCCAGCCACTCCATGGCCACTGGCTGACTCCTAGGAACTGTGTGGGCCTTTCTAGTGCAGCTGGTCACAGAGGGACCACAGGCAAGGCAAGCGTGACCAGATGAAGTAGTTCCTAAAGACTTTGTCTTGGACTTTGACAACAGGTTCAGGTTACATTAGGGACACAGGATGGCAAATAATTGATTCTTGTTATAATAGTCTTTGTAGTTATAGTAACAGATGCATGCTACTTAAATTCAGAGTGGCATCCACTCTTGCAAAACATAAGGAATTCTTAGGAAGAGTGGATAGACAAGAGCTAAGGAGTCAGATGGCAGCGTTAGCTTTACTGAAGAGCACAGAAGGAGCTGGTTTAATCTCAGCAGACACAGCCTGGTTGGCACAGCAAAGCCACAGAGTGTGTACATTAAATGTACATGCAGGACCAGCGCACGGCTGGGACTTTCTGCCCAGTCTTTCCAGTACAAATATTTGTACCATCATGGACAAAAAATAGTAAATTAAATATGTTCCTCTAAAGATATTTTTTCCTGACTTTCTCTTGATAAGATTTATTGTCCCTGATAATGTGACATTTGAAAAAGACACAAAGCTATTCCGTAAGATGAGAGCTGGGCCAGGTCTAAGAGCTCTGGAAGACGTGTCCTTGCCCTGCATCTAGGACACTATGACTCCAGGGTCATGTGCACAGGGAATACTAGACCATGTTTTCTGAGTCCACAGCCAGTACTGTGGACACAAGAGAGACAATAGTGAACCTCTAGGTAAAGAAAGATATGATAATTACTATTGAGCAGCAACTTGGTTGGATTTAAAGCCATTAGGAGACACATTTCTGGTCATATATGTGAGGGCATTTCCAGAGAGGTTTGAAGAGAGAAGAGCCACCATGAAGGTGGGTAGAACAAACCAATGGGCTTCAGCACTGGCTAGACTAAAGAGAAAAACAGGGAGAAAGGGGCCTGAGAACCACTGTCCACCGCTCTGCTTCTTGGCTATGGATGTACTATGCCCAACTGTGTCATGCTCCTGCCTGCACACCTTCTCACCATGATGGACTGTGTCCCCTCAATCTGTGAGATAAAACAAACTCTTCCTTTCTTAAGTTGCCTTTGTGGCAGCAACAGGAAAAGCAACAGGAAAGCAGCCTTCTTGGTCATCGCTTGAGAAAGGTGAGTTAGTGACTGCCTCCCAGTCAATGACCTTCACGGAGCACACTCATACAGCCAGACTCCAGAGTCCAAGGTTTTGATCCAGGTGCCTTAAGTTTGTGTTTTGGGCTTTTTTTTTTCTTATGAGTTGTGTTATAGGTCATTTTGCTTTGCTGTGTGTGTTTCTCTCTTTGTTGAGTAGAGAGGGATGAGCCAATCAGTCTTAAAGGGTTAGCAAGGATATTAACTTAAACAACATGCCAGGTGTCCAGTGAGGGACAGTTACTAACAGTGGAGAGAACACCTCTGCTCTGGGGGCAAGAACACTCCAAGACACAGGAACAAAGAGGGCTGATCTTAGGGATCAGTGTTTACCAGAGGGCTGTACTCTGTGACCCAGCGGAGGCTGTGCATCTGAATGAAACGGCTCAGCTTGGAGGCATCTAAGCTTTCAATGTCTTTATCATCCAAATGCAGTTGTTCCTTATCAACCTGGGGAAGGAAAAGGAGACACAGTGAAGGACAGTAACCTGCAGCATCCTTGAGATCATTGGCAAATGGGATTTGACTACAAGGCTGTGACAGGCACTGAGCACAGCTCCAAAGACAGGAAGGAAGTTTTCTACCCTCAGGGATGCTTTTCTCTACTTGTCTCTTAAGGGCTATTTTTATGTAACACAATCACTGATATATTGAATTACGCATTTTCCATCAGCCAGCTGTTCTGAATTCCATTTTCTTAACCTCTGGCTCGCTTTTCATTTACTTACTTCCCAATATTCCCTTTTCTCCCTCTTTGGTTGGGAAGCTGCTTAAGCTTTATTTATGCCTTTAGAGACTGCCATTATGTAACACGTAGCTTCTAAGTTATCAGAATCTAATATTAGTTGGCAGTTACATCTCCCTGTTGAACATTAGAACCTACATACAAAGATTAAAAAAAACAAGCAACTTAAAAGATTGTCTGAATCAAATTAAACTTATGAAATAATAAATGCCAAGGTGTAGAAAACATACTTCTAAATTAGAATCTTAGGGGGCAAAACCCACCCAAACCAGTGGATCTTTTAAAGGGGAAGTACTAGCTCAGTGGTAGGGTGGTGCTTGCTTAGCGTGTGAGTTTCTAGGTTTAATTCCCAGCAAGAAACACACAAAAATGTTTGGTAATGGATATGTGCAGACCAGTTGGTAGGAGACTTTCCCCGGTTGTAGGAAGCCCCAGGTCTCATCTCCCGCACCACATGAGATAGACATGTTGGTTCCTGTAACCCCAGGATTCCAGAAGGAGAGGCAGGAGGATCTGCATAGAGAGTCTGAAGTGGTGAGAAGTAGGTGAAGCCACTTGGTACACACAGTTGTGTTAAAATCCAAAATGCTCACTAGGAACGTTGAGAAAAAGATGTATGAACAATAGAATCTTGTTCAGCTTTATATTCCCACTATTCTTACCAAACCATGCAAGAATAAGTCAAAGGCAATCTAGGCAACAGTGGAGAGGCTACCTTAAATGCCCTCCCCCAATAATGAGATTGATGACTACCTTAATGCCATCCTAGAATCTTCATCCAGTGACTGATGGAAGCAGAGACAGACACCCACACTGAACTGAACTGAACTCATGGAACCCAGTTGCAGAGAGGGAGGAGTGATGAACAAAGGAGCCAAGACCTGGCTGGTGACACCCACAGAGGCAGCTGACCTGAACAAGGGGGAGCTCATGGACCCCAGACTGGTGACTGAGAGGCCAGTATGGGACTGATCCATACCCCCTGAATGTGGGCATCAGTGATGAGGCCTTGGTGGCAATCTATGGGGCCTCTTATAGTATATCTGTATTATCCCTGGCACACAAATGGACTTTGGGAGCCCATTCCACGTGAAGGGACATTCTCTCAACCTGGACACATGGAAGAGGGCCTAGGCCCTGCCAGGGATGACATGACAGACTTTGAAGATTCCCTATGTAGAGCCTCACCCTCCCTGGGAAGTGGAGGGGGACCGGGGTGGAGGGTTGGGGAAGTTGGTGGGGGAGGAGGGGAGTGAGGGAGCTGGGATTGACATGGGAAGCAAGCTTGTTTCTAATTTAAATAATAATGAAAAGAATAAGTCAAAGGCTGCTATGGTAGTTTATGTCTTTAATCCCAGTGCTTAGGAAGACCAGGCAGGAGGATGGCCAGGAGTTCAAGGCAGCCTGGGCAGCATGGGACATTCTATGCCCTCCTGGGCAATAGAGCAAGAACTTCTCTCAGACAAACAAAACAAAAAGAGTGAGTTAGAGAGTGTTTAAGAGAACTTGCTGCTCTTTCAGAGGGTCTGAATTCAGTTCTCAGTATCCCAGGTTGGGTGATTCCCCGACAGTTTATAATACCAGCTCCAAGAGCATCAAGACCCTCTGGACTCTGCCAGCACCTGTTCACATGGAGACAAATCCAAACAGACACAAGGACATATTTACAGAGACAGACAGACAGACAGACAGACAGACACACACACACACACACACACACACATACACACAAGAGAGGAGGGGAAGGAGGGAGGGAGGGAAGAGGAAAGGAGGGAGAGAAAGGGAGGGAGGCAGGGAGGGAGAGGGAGAGAGAGCTGTTCTCTTAATCTTCTCTGCCTCTTAAGGCAGGCTTGCCAGATGGCAGAATCTCGCACTTAGGACTTTGCTATTGCAACCACTCAAATCATCATCATAATCAAATCCCTCTTAATATTGAGTGTGTCCAAATGCTTGAAGATTATTTTTCTAGGACATAGAGGCCCTGCTCCTGTGTGCAGCTGGCCCCGCAGCCTTGGGCCAGGAGGCCCCGCCCTCCTGCCCGGTTTCCAGGCAGTTCCCAGAATTGGAGAACTGGATGCGCCAAGAACTCCAGGTGGATTTCTGGACTCAGGAATGCAGAGGAAGGACAAAGGGTGTGCAGCCGGGGTAAAGTTCCTGCCCTAGGCAGTGGGAGTGCTTCAGTAAACTGCTCTCTCTCCTGCAGGCGCTTCAGTTCTCCCGAGGAAACATACCCGATTATTTCATTATTTCCTAAACTGATAAACTCAGGAGCAACCGCGTGTAGGGTTCCTGGAGGCAACACTTGAACAGGAAGTGTGCTTTCCACCAAGCGGATCATTTGCATAATGCACTGGAGAGAAAGCTCTATCCTAGAACGAGACTTTGGGAACGTCTTTAAAACATCTATTTTGCGAGTGTTTGGAAGGAATTTTACTTAAGTTATCCTCCCCCGGGACGGGACAGAGGCTCTGAAAGCGGAAAAGAGCAGGTTGGAAGGGCTGTGAGCTTCAGTGAATTTTTTTTTTTGTGCTACTCTTTGCTATGAGGGTAGTTCTTTGCATTCCTGCGAGCGAGCTCTCACTTCAGAAAACTGCATTAAAACTCATCTTAGTTTATGTTCTTTCTTGTTTTGTTTTCATTTGTTTATTTCAGACAGGTTTCATGGAGTGAGGCTCGTTTTTGGTTTTCTGTGTAGCCAGAGATGAATCTGAACTCCCGATCAGCCCTGAACCGTCTCCCCCGTACTGGAATTCCAGGTGTATACCACCATGTCCCATTCATCTTAGTTATACTGCAGCTATAATATTTTATGACAGTCCAGTCAGAAAATTACTTGCGTAGTACTGAGAAATGATTTGTTAAAGAATTCCTTCGTGTCTCTGATTTTATATATGTATACACACACATATATATGTATATACACTTTTGTTTGTTTTGATACAGTGTCTTCTGTAGCCCAGGATGGCTTTAAATTTGCTGCCTAGTCCAGTTCCTCCTGTCAGTCTCCCGAGGGGCTGGATTATAGGTGTGCACCACCACCATGCCCATTGACAAACACACTTTACGAAAGTGTTTTGATACTTTGACATATATTACTTCTCTCTATTTTTACAGTCATTTCTTCTGGCTCTCCATGTCTGGTAAGGTAGATAGTCCAGGCTGGTCTCGAACTCACAGAGATCCGCCTGCCTCTGCCTCCCGAGTGCTGGGATTAGAGGCGTGCGCCACCAACGCCCGGCCATACTAAACATTCAAAAAGAACAGTTCAAGGGTCAAGAATGGCTTACCACATTTCTCTTATATCCCCTTGGGTCAGAATTGGACCAACTTTCTTTCTTAAAATAGAAGTGAATAAGAAAATCCAAAATAGTGCAGAAATTCAAATAATAGGGCAGGCTCGTGGTTTATTAACTCCACAGATTGGATCCGTGTGAGGATTAGATCTGTATAGGGTTTATACAGAAACAGGGGGTCTCCTTGCTGTCACACTCTCAGACAGGCTGAGTCCTTGACAGCCTCACTGTCTCATGCAACTTCTAATTGTACCCCGAACTTTGCTGAAGTGCTTCCTGGAAACATTTCTGTAAGTCAGCCCACACTAGTGTCCGAGAGCAAGTGTCTGTCTTCCTTACCTTTCTGTTGCTGTGGTAAGACCATGGTCAGACACAGCCTGGGAGGGGAAGGGTTTATTTGGCTTACAAATCAGTCTATCACCAAGGGAAGCCAAGACAGGAACCTGGGGGTAGGAACCGGATTGGAGACTATGGAGGAATGCTGCTAGCTGGCTTGCTCTAGCTGGTCTCTGTTTCTGATTCCTGCTTTAAGTTCCTGCCTTGGCTTCCCTCAGTAATGAACTGTGGCGTCAGTCAAATGCACACTTTCCTCCTCAGACTGTGGTTGGCAATGGTCTTTATCACAGAAACTCTAAGACACATACAAATGGGTACCAGAGCGGACAGTTGCTGTGACAGATACAGCACTGTCCTCATGGAGAGAGTTGTGAAGAATTTGGAACTCTGGGTGAGAGAAGCCACTGAGTGTTCAGAGCTATCTTGTGGGAGGCTGGAAAAGAATACTGAGAGCAAGGCAGATGTTAGAGGCCTGGCTTGTAAAGTTTCAAGACTTGAAAGTTCTTCAAAGACTCTATCGAGGCTATTCACATGATAGTTTAAATTGGGAACATGTACTGCTGGGAATCATCTGTGCCCAAGAAGAAACCAGCATCACTGAGGTGAAATCTGGAAGCCCTTCCTCAGGGGCGTACTTCAGAATCTTCACACAGAGACTGTGGGCCACAGGGGCCGAGACTGAATCTCATGTTGGCTGCTGAACTTGGTGTTTTGTAAAGATCTTCCACATATGGCTGGCTTGGGTAGCATGAAGGGGGCATGGAGAGCAACTGGAGTTTGGCAATATGGGACAACGTTAAGGTCCCTGAAGACAGGCCAGGAAAGGCTGTATAGGTAGAGCCTATAATATTGTTGTGAAGAGATACCATAATCATGGTAACTCTAATAAAGGAAAACATTTAATTGGGGCAGGCTTACAGGTTCAGAGGTTTGGCCCATTATCATCACAGCAAGAAGCATGGCGGTGTGCTGGCAGGCATGGTGCTGGAGAAGGAGATGAGAGTTTTACATCCAGCAGAAAGAGAACGCCACACTGGGTGTGGGTTGAGCATCTGAGGCCTCAAAGATCACCCCCAGTGACACACACTTCTTCCTCTTCCAAGAAGGTCACGCCTCCTAATAACGTGACTCCCTATGGGCCTATGGGGGGGCATTTTCATTCAAACCACCACAGAGGCAGTTGGTGAAGATTCAGTCTCAGCTGCAGTGACGATCCCAGCACATATGAGATGACAAGACTGTGTGGTGGTCCAAGTACAGTGGCAGCTGTAGAGGGAGCGAGTTTGAGCCTCTCGGACAAGCTATGTGTGCTATGACCGATAGAGCCTGAGTGAAATGGAGCTTTCCAAGACCTCTGGAGCCCAGAAGACTGTGAATCCCAGATATTGGACAGTGAGCTACTGAGGTTGTGGAAGTTTGGTTTTGCTTTGCTTTGACCGCGGCTGTGCCATGATTCCTATCTCTTGGAGTAAGAAAATATTTAACTTCTAAAATTTATTATTATTATTATTATTATTATTATTATTATTTATAGGAGCCCATAGACTTTGGAGTATTAGAGGGACTTTGGTCATTCTGCAGAGATTTTGAACTTTTAAAAAGACTTTGGATATTTTGAAGAGACTAAACCTTGGAAGTGTTTGGAGTTTTAAAGACCAGGACTTTTAAAGTTATTTATGCTTTATGTTGTTATGTTAATATGAGATTTTGATGGTGGACAAGAAACAAAGACAACAGTTGAAGAGTGACGCATTTGTGTGTCAAGCTGACAAGGGGTCAATTGCACTGGCTACTGTTTGTCAACTTGACACAAGTTAGGGTCAATTGGAAAGATGACTCCTTAAGATTGGCCTATAGGCAAGACAGGCATTTTCCTGATTAATGGTTGACATGGGAGGGCCCTGCCCACTGTAGGTGGTGCCTCCTCAGGCTGGTGGGCTGAGTTACATAAGAAAGCAGGCTGTGAAAGCCATGGAGAACAAGTCAGTAAGCATCATTCTACTATGGCCTCTGCTTTAGCTCCTGCTTCCTGCCTTGAGCCTGCCCTGACGTTCCCCAGTGATAGAGGGTAACCTCAGAATTATAAGAAGAAACAAATGTTTCATCACAGCAGTAGAAACCCCAGTAGTTCTGCCTCAGTAATAATGAGTCAGTGTATTTTTACTTATTATTCATCTTATCTTTAAATCTATTCTTCCTCTTACAAATGTAGTAACTCTAAATTCTGAAGTTTTGCTACCAAACTATATAGTATATAGATCCTATATCAAATTCTAGATTAAGCCCTGAGATATAATCCTGGGCTTTGATTAATTAATACCAGGGGCTTAGGGAAGTTGTTTGGAATAAAGTTTTTGAGATGTAGACTTTGGAATGAGGAACATTAAATAAATACAACTTAGGATAAAGACAGAGATTTTCTTTGGGGGCTGGAGAAATGCCTCAGTCATTAAGAATGCGTGGGACTCTTGCAGAGGGACTGAATTCAGATCCCAGCACCCACATCAGGAGGTTCATAACTGCCCATATCTCCAGCTCCAGCAGACCTGACACCCTCTTCTGGACTCTGCTGCACCCAAGAGGACATACAAATACATACAGACACACAGACACATAGAAATGCATGTGTAAATGTAAAAGAACCATCAAATTAGTTTAAAAAAGAACTTCCTTTAGTGCCTTAGAGAGCCATTACAATGCAGGAGGAAGAGGAGGCTGAGCTTGGCACCAGGCAGCCACGTGACCGTTGTGAAACATTGGGGAGTTGCTTCCATCTACCAGAACTTTATTTTTCCTGTTGAAAACTCAGCAAGAATATTCTGGTTTCTTTTCTATTCTTTTTTGGATTTTTGAAGACAGGTTTTCTTTATGTAACAGGTCGGGCTGTCCCAGAACTAGCTATAGACCAGGTTGGCCTCTAATTCACAGAGATCCGCCTGCCTCTGCCTCCTGTGTGCTGGAATTAAAGGTGTGCACTACCACTGCCCGGCAGGAATAATATTCTTTTCTTCATATTTTGTGAGAATTATAATAGTGCTTATCATAGATTAGATACACACAGACACAGTCCTACACACAGAGACACATATAGGCAGATGGACAGACAGACTGACAGATTCAAAAATAAACAAATTGTGGAAAACTGCAGATAGTAAAATGTGGATCTAAGTTGAAAGAAGGTCCCATAAAGTTTTCAATAGGCTCATGCTTCACAATATGAAACAAAACGGTCCCAGTTTTTCTTTACTGAAGTTATTCTGAACTCCTGAACAATGATCCTATTAAGATATGTACCAAAGTTTGAAAACGCAACCGAGAATCAGTGTTTATGTAACAGCTGACCTGTAAAAACTCCAACCTTTCCCAACCCTGCCAACGAGGTGGCACAAAACCAGCCTGTTTGTTTTCTGGCATGGCACATAGAGTTTGTCCACCGATGTCCCAAGGCTTTGCTTTGAGTAGGGCTGTCACTAGTGGCCAGCATAAAACAGATGACAAGGAAGGGTCTTAGAAGAGCCACCAACAGGGTGCTTTATAGAGAGTTCCTTGTAAGCAGAGTTCACACTACTGTCAGGTCTGCTCAGCACCTATTTGGGGGGGGCTGGTTTTGAACTCCTGGTCCTCTTGCCTCAGGCTCCCGAGTGCTGGGATCACAGGGCTGCATCACCAAGCTTGGCAGATCACCCCATCTTTTATTTCTATTGCTATTTCTCCACTCCAGCCCCATTCTGTCTCATTAAAAACGTATGTGTGTGGTTATTTTGACTACATGTATGTGCACCACATGTATGCCTGGTGTCTGAGTAGGTGAGAAGGAGTCAGATCCCCTGGAACTGGTGTTGAGAGCTGCCAAATGGTTGCTGGGAATCAAACCTTGGTCCTCTGCAAGAGCATCCAGGGCTCTTAACCTCTGGGCCACCTCTCCATCCCCCTGTAGACTCTGGATAAATTTCACATAGTCTATTTTGCTGAGTTAGCAAGAGCTCTTGCTCCTTGAATCCATCTTATTCTTTGTTTCCAAAATAATCTTGCCAAATCTCATTTCTATCCATGTTACTTTCCTGACCCAAAGGCTTCAGGGAGCTTTCTGGTGCCAATTAAAGTAAGTAGAAGCCCAGGATACTGGTACTGTGGTTTTAGCACAAATATGTTCTAATAAAGCTTCCCTGTCTTATGTTCCTTTTCCTGTAACATGTACCTTGGGATCTAGTCAAGTTGGCATCATTGATTCCTAACTACATTCAGTTTTACTCCTTTGGCCATGATTCTCCATTAAATGCCCAACTTTAACATATACTTCCCATTTAATTGTCTCTCTGTATTATTTTTGTAAATTTCCAAACTATTTTCACTCCCATAACACTTTACTCTTAGTGATGCTTTCTAATTATTTTTTCTTCTTTTGAGACAGAGTTTCATTATGTAGCTTTGGCTGTCCTGACTCACTGTGTAGATTAGGCTGGCCTCTAACTCACAGAGATCTTCCTGTCTTTGCCTCCCTAGTGCTGGGATTAAGGGTGGGCACATCTTCCAGCTTTATAGTGGTGTTTTCTATTAGTATATTGGCTATAAATATTTTGCTGCATTTTTAAGTTCTATGAGAACAGAGAGTATATTCAATGTTACTGTTATCAGTACCTTATACAAGAGTTGTCTAATAAAATATTTGATAAACATAGGCCAGCTTCTCAACATATAAAATTATAAAATTGTAGGGCTAGGTATGTCCTTTGGTTGGTAGTTTGCTTGCCTGGCACACATGAGGTTCTGGGTTTGATTCCCCCGCACTGCATAAATAGGGTATGACAGTGTGTGCCTATGCCCGTAATCTCAGTATTTGGGAAGTAGGAGACTAGAAGTTTAAGGGGATCATCATCTATGTATCAAGTGGCCATTCGGAGCTACATGAAAACTTGGTGTGCACGCGTGCGCGCACACACACACACACACACACACACACACACACGCATGCACGCACGCACGCTCGCATGCACGCACGTATTTATGTAGCATAAACTGCTGTGCTCTCTCTCTCTCTCTGCCTCTCCTGTGTGTGTGTGTGTGTGTGTGTGTGTGTTTGCCTGTATTTGTCTTCAGTGCTTACCATGACCTTAGGGATAATATGGTTATTTTATAGAGGTAAGAGCTGAAGGGAGTAAACACTAAGTGGCTCACTCACCCTCTCTGCCTGGTAAGGCACCATTCATTCCCGTGCTCTATACACCTCAGCCCAGCACCTACCTGTTTTCCAGACTGAATTGAGTCATTGTCCTTGTCAACAATGTCCCTCAACTTGGCACCAGCAACAGTGTTAAAGACACAGAGTTCACCAGCAACAGTGTTAAAGACACAGAGTTCACCAGCAACAGTGTTAAAGACACAGAGTTCTCTCCCCACCCCAAGGAAAACCTGGGAGAAGGCTGGAGCTACCCACCCAGCTTACCTGTCGGAAGAGGCAGATGCTGTTTCCGGTGATGTTGTAGTGGGTCAGAACCTCAGAACTGTTGCTGATTGCAAACGCTATGTCTCGGAACTGCTGTGCCATGCTGCGGAATGTGGACACTATTGGTATCTCTAAATCCTAAAAACAAAAACAAACAAACAGCAAACAGAGAAAGAGAGAGGGAGGGAGAGGGTGAGAGAGAGATAGAGATAGAGAGAGAGAGAGAGAGAGAGAGAGAGAGAGAGAGAGAGAGAGAGAGAGAGAGAGAGAGAGAGAGAGAGACTCACAGGTCATTTTTGAGAGGAGAGACATGGAAGAAAAGTATGCTCATGCCAGAAGTTTTGATTTAGTCCAGTAAAACACGTGTTATCATTACACATGCAGGCTATACTTGCAGTGGCATCTTTGAGATCCCCAGGCTGTGTGAGTTTATAGGTTATTAGGAAAATTGTATCTAAGCCTGTAGTTTTTGTGGGCACTCATCATGCAGCCTGATTTCTACTTGTAGCTGATGGAAGCCTTGGTGTCCAAGGTCTGTGAAGTTGGGCTATATAGTCACTCATCCTTGCTGCTCCCCCTGTGTCCTCCTCTCCCCTTGGGAGCAATTTGTGGGGGGACAGGGTGATGTAACATTAAGAAAATGGGCGCTTAGCCTGGTCACTGGAAATGTGCAGGGGGCTGAGGGTCCTTCAGTTTGTGCAGGAAGGAGCTTACTGGTCTATGCATCTGTGGCAACCCATGCCTGCACTTAAGGAGACAGGAAGCCACTCATCAGTGATGGTGGCTGTGGGCCCACAGACATGGCACTGTCTTCCATGCTGCCTTAGGATGTTTGTCCACAGATGCTCCAGGCAGTCTGCCTATTTTCTCTACATCTCACTGAGCTAAAGGGCGTGTGCAAGGAGAAGGGAAGATTGCTAGTCTTGCATCTGGGATCACCAAAACAGAGTTGGCACCTTTCTCTTTTGAAAGCAAGAGGGTTATTCTTTTAGAAGCAGTGGATGTTTGTTCATTGGCTCACTGGTTTGTAAAACTGAGCTTTTGAAGGACCCAATGGCGGCATCTGGTGGCTGTTTGTGTTACTGCACCCTTCCGGTTCCCTCTTCCCTTTCTGCAGCTCAGACTTCCATCACCAAACGCGATTTCCTCTCCCATTGACACCCATAACAGCTGTTCCCAGTTTTGTACACAGTTTGGACAGGGTGACTGTGGATTAGAATCAAGGAACTGAAGTATAGAAGAAGGTCTGGGGTAAGAGAATAGGACCTGGGTTAGCTATGAGGATTGCCAGGTGCTATCGAGAGAGAGAGAGAGAGAGAGAGAGAGAGAGAGAGAGAGAGAGAGAGAGAGAGAGAGAGAGAGAGAGAGAGAGGGAGGGAGGGAGGGAGGGAGGGAGGGAGGGAGGGAGGGAGGGGGAGGAGGAGGGAGGGGAGACACAGAGAGAGAGACAGAGACACAGAGACAGTGAGAGACAGAGACCGACAGAGATAGAGACAGACAGGGAGGGAGGGGAAAAGGGAGGAGGGGAAAAGGAGAGAGAGAAGGGGAAAGAAAGGGAGAGAAAGGGGGGGGAACTGAATTGAGACCCTTCTGTTTACAGCTGTCTGCATTACCCAACAATCAATATGGAAGATGTCAGTGACCACTTGATGGTCCTCAGTGTTCAGAGAGGGTAAGAAGATTAATGAGGGTCGACCTTTTTGGTTTAGCACAGTCTGTGAAAGATAATCCTAGCCTATCCTTTCGGCCAGTCCCATTACTACGGCATTTTCTCATGCTCTCACTACTCAGGAGGCTGAGGTAGGAGGACTGTGGGTTTGAGGGAAGCATGAGCTACACAGAGCATTCTAGGCAGCCTGAGTTGTGAGACCTTATCAGGAATACACAATAAAAAATAAGTTTAAAATGTGCATCTTTGTTCACTTCTGCTGCTGGTGGGCACCATGGGCACAGGTGAGGCTACTTAGGACAGTGGTGAGGTGTGATAGGAGTCTGACCTGCAGACCCCCACCCTCTTTCCAAGGTGCCCATAGGTGAGGAGACACAGCCACGGGACTCTGAGACCCGATGTGGAGGACACGCTGCTTTGAAATGAGGGGATCGCTCTCAGACGACAAGCTGAGAGCAGTCTGAGCATTCTTGCTACCAAATCAGCGTCTAGCCCAGCAGGCCACTGTCATGGCTACCCTAAGGCAGAACATGTCTGAGCACAGGTGCAGGAGTAGAATGTATGCACAAACCTGGAAGAAGCCTATGATGGCCACCTCGGCAGTCTTGGTGAGTTCCTCGGTAGCCGGGATGTCTGTGAGCCATATGGCTTCCTGGGTAGTGCTGAGACCGTCTGCAGTAAGAGGGGTAGAGATGATAGGCAGCACACATCTTTACTCAGAAACTTCTGGGAAGTGTTGCGGGTTTGAATGAAAATGCCCAGAATATTTCATATTGTCCTCTCTTCTGCTATGACATGCTTCCTTAGGTAACCCAACTATTTCCCCCTTCCCCCCTTTTTTTTGTACCTGAGGCTTCTTCAGCATCTGCCGGGACTTCTGGGAGCAGGCCACACATGAGGATAAATGAAAGGACGAGGCATCTGAACCAGGAGACTCCCATTGTTGTCCCGTTCTAGCCCTGGATGTTGAGGTTGGGGTTGCCGATCCAGGACAGCCTGACGTAGTGAAATGGCTGTGGGTTGTTAGCGCTCTGGGAATTTCACAGCTGGCCCCTGGGGAACCTTCACCTTCTGTGACAAATGGCTCAAAGTGGCAGGGCCTTGGAGCATATCCAGCCAGGAGAAAGACAGGTTTGTTCATTTAAATAATAAAAATACGTAAGGACCCGCGCCTCCTTTTGATGTCGGTAGTAGGCTACCAATACAAGCGTCAGCTGATGCAATGTCTCCCGGCTCACACTGTTGACGGGAGAGGGGGACACAAACGTGGGTGACTTAAATACGAAACAGAGAGGGGCGAAACGTGGAGAAGTTCATAGGCTGTTGGGAGAGAGATGAAGGTCACTTGGGGGAGAGTAGGGTTTGCTGAAGAATGTCTGCGTGCAAGGAAGTGCCAGCAGAGTCCTGGGTGGATATGATTGTCCAGACATCAAAACGTGTAAAGGACACGCGCTGCTTTTATGTGCCAAGACAAAATATTCTACATGACAAAAGCAACTGAAGAGAGGGCAGGATTTATTATGGTGCCCAGTTTGAGGGTACAGCCGGTCACAGCAAGGAAAGCACGTTGTGACACAGCTGGCTGGTCACACTGCACCCGCAGTCGGGAAGGGAGATGGGCTCGGCTCGGCTCGCTTTCTCCATTGATCCCAGCATGGAGGGACCCTACACATGGGTGGGGTGAGCATTCCCACTTCAATGAACCCAGCCTAGAAGCTCTCTCACAGGCAGGCCTGGAGGCCTTTCTCCATGGTGGTTCTAGAGTCTGTCAGGCTGACAGTGGATATTGACAAGAGATCTCATGGGAAGAACTGCCATCTAGACATGAAAACAGAATGTGAATGAACATGAGTCACTGAGCATTACAGGACGGAAGAGAATGACAGACTTGAGGCCGTCTTGCAATAGGCCTTTATGCAACAGAGTAAACTAGCGTAGATGCTTCTACTTCATCCAGTGGATGTCGAGAACCCAAGGAAGAGTCCCAAGCAGGAGCCAGAGTTTGATCTGGGCCACTACAGGTGGTGGAGTGCACATCTCAGTCTTCGATGAAGGCCCCCGAAGAAAATACAATAAATGAAATTTAGAATGTTTACTCTCTGTATTACTAACACCCACCGACCACTACCTTGTAACCATCTGTTGGCAAAGATATACATACCCCCTGGACTGTGGATCTTACCCATGCCCCCATCCGTAAGCTGACTCAGAATGTGAGCCTTCTGGTACCATGTTTGTTTGAAGGAAAAAGGAAGGGAAATGAGAGTCTCAGTCACACATACAGTGTTTTATTCTTTTCCTTTTGTGTTGTTTACAGTGTCTCCCACAGAGAAGAGGCCTCACAGGCAGGAAAGCAGGGAAGGTGATGGGGGGGGGGTTCACTGAACCAGAAGAACCCAGTGGCAAAAATGAGTTTCTGCACACAAGGCAAACGCGCCATTAGAGACGGCTTGCCCATTTCCTGGCCTTCAGTACTCAGATCGGAAGAAAAGAGATGGAGAACTTTGGAACTCTGGCCCTGCTGAGGGGAGAAAGTTTGAGGAAACATGTGAGGTTAAACCTAGGGTTTAAGAGATGGGGTAAGATAAAACATATCAACGAGGAGACTCTGTGTATGTGTGTGTGTGTGTGTGTGTGTGTGTTAGAGAGAGAGAGAGAGAGAGAGAGAGAATGTGTGTGTGTGTGAGTGTGTGTGTGTGTGTGTGTGTGTGTGTGTGAGATCGAGCGGATCCAGCTGTGAACAGGGAGGGAGGAGGGTGAACATGATCCACATGGCTGGGGGGGTTCTTCTGGTGGGGAAGGTAGGGCAGGGATGGACAGATGCACTCATTCTGTCCAATCCTTCTTAATGGCCAGGTTCCATTCCCAGGTGAGGTGATCCTGCTTGTCGTCATCCGTGAAGAAGGACTTGTTGTGGTAAGTGCCTCGGGCCAACATGCCCTTGGGAGCCTCCTCCACTGGAGTGAGGAACTCATACTCCTCTGGTCGGGGCCCATAGCTGCCAACCATGAATGTAGCTTTATCCACTAGGAAGAAAGAATGATCCATTAGCGTAAGATCCTGGTATAGGAAAAGCATACTAAACACGGGAGAGCCCAGAGTGCAGCTTATATGGGTAGAAACCCAGAGCAACAGTGCCACACCTGGCCAAATACCAGTTTTCCCTGGGGCATTTTTTCTTTGTTTGTTTGTTTGTTTTTAACTAAACCGGTGCCTATGACCCCATTTCCAGCACCAGAGAAGATGAGGAGGGAATTTAAGAGCAGGTTTGTCTGCGTGCACAGGAGACCTTGTCTCAAACAGCAAATATCTCCTGAGGCAGACATATTAAAGCATGTTAAAAACAAAAGCTCCTTTAAAACAAATGCAGTTGCCGGGCGTTGGTGGCGCACACCTTTAATCCCAGCACTTGGGAGGCAGAGGCAGGCGGATCTCTGTGAGTTCGAGGCCAGCCTGGTCTACAGAGCAAGTTCCAGGACAGCCTCCAAAGCCATAGAGAAACCTTGTCTCGAAAAACTGAAAAAAAAAAACCCAAAAAACAAATGCAGTTTACCTTGCTATCCCCCATAATTGGGGCCAAGGTTCAGTAACCTGTGGGTGCCAAAATTAGTCTTTAAAAAGAAAAGGATCGGAGTCAATTCTGATTATTAAATCAGAATATTAGTAACTTAAATCGGTGGAGTTGAAGCCTCCTTACAGATGTAAAGCAGATTGCACCATTAAAAATGGACAGACAGACATCAGGCCTCAGTCTTGCTGGTAACTGTCCGAGCTCTACAACACTTGGGGCCTCCCCACCCATCTGTCTGTCTGTCTGTCTCTCTGTATCTATCTATCTATCTATCTATCTATCTATCTATCTATCTACCTATCTATCTTTCTATCCATCTATGACTTCAAGGACCCCTTTGTCTAAAATCACTCTACGAACATCTTAGTTGGAGGGGGCTACTGTAACATCTGGTGGTCAGACTGTGTAGAGTTTAGGAATTCAAAGGTTAGATGGGAGGGGAAATCAACAAGCTGGTCAAAAGTTTAGCAGTGGAGGAGAGAAACAAGGGATGAACACAGTCAACCGGACCTTACTTTTGGGGGGACTTCTGGGGTATGGATCCAGAGCAGCTGGAGTTTAGAGGTTTAAATGGCATTGAGCAGCAACAGCGAGGTAGGGTACAGCTGGCTCTTAGCGGCTGCACTTTGGAGGCCCAGCTGCACACATGCCACACGCTGCTGGCTGCAGTGAGTCAGCGGGGCCTCTGGGCACAAAGGAAACAGGAAATTGAGCTGGGTTTTCGGAGACCAGGCACTAGCAAGGCTGATAAGTGTTTCTCAGGTCCACGGTCTTCTCTGGAATTTGATAGGCTGGTTTTTATGCCCTGAAGTCATATCAAATAAGAATTTCTCCTGGCTCCTTTGTTGATTTGGGGGACTGAGATATGTTATCTTGTGCCCATGCCTGGTACAGAAAGACTGTGGATGTGGTCTGGGTTATGTTCCTGCCCAAGAGATGTTCTGAATGACAGCTGAGGGAATATGTGGTTCTGTATTTCAATTACACTGCTTTTTCTCATCCCTAGAAAGAAATGTTTTCCTATTTCTTTGTTAAGACATCAAACACTGACTTTCTGCCCCTCCTCCTCATGGTACACCTGAGACTCACCCCAACACATTGTCTCTCTGCCTCTCCTCTAATGGTACTCCGAGGTTCACCCCAATACACTGTCTCTCTGCCTCTCCTCCCCATGGCACCCCTGATGTTCACCCCAACACACTGTCTCTCTGCCTCTCCTCTAATGGTACTCTGAGGTTCACCCCAACACACTGCCTCTCTATCCCTCCTCCCTATGGAAGTCATGATGCTCACCCCAGCACAAAGGCCTTGGGCAGGTCCTTTTTGTCTTTCTGTCATGGTTTTATACTGTAGACTGCTTATGCTATTGAGTATTTGGTGTGTGTGTGAGCGTGTAACACTCACACACACACACACACACACACACGCACGCACACACACACACACACACACACACACACACGGCAGAAGAACACACAGGTATTCTTCCCAGGCAATATCTGCCTTGCCTTCTTTGAAATGGGGCCATCTCACTGGTCTGGAACTCACCAATTAACTATGTTGGCCATCCAGTGATGCCCAGGGAGTCCCCTACCCAGTCTCTGCCTTTCCAGGGTGGGATTGCAGATGCATGCCGCCATATTGTTTGCTTCTGGGGGTCCCGGGGTCCCAAACTTGGGTCTTCACGTAAGCACTTTACAGAGTGGGTTGTTTCTTCCATTCTTTCACTTTTGATGACCGCTTTCTGATCTTTGCTTCACTCTGTCTCGGTTACTGCCCCATGTATGAATGGGTAACACACTTGAATTCTAGATTCTGAATGGTGAAGACCCCTGCTTTGCCTTAAGTGGACCCAGCATCCTGAATGCTTTCTCAATGGCTATGTCTGATCTACCTGGTATCTTTTCTAAGAGTGGACATGCCATATGCCGGTACCTTTCATCCAGCTCTTGTAAGCTTAGAGCCAAAGGTTGTTCAAAGCCTGGGGCAGAAATATCAGCGAGAAGTTTGGGACAATCTTACCTTTCATTCCAGTCCGATACGTATGCTGAACATACTTCAGGCCCGACACAATATCTCTGTTCACCTGTAGGTGAGACACCCCCAACCAATTCAGATTAAAGATCTTGCAGTTTTTTTAAAAATCTTTCCTGCCCATCTCATCTAGCTAAACAGATTGAGTTCTACTCTCATAACTTGGTGTTTCTCGCAAGGACTGGGGAGATCCAATCACAAGACTTAGTGTTGCCAGTGCTGGCCTATTCATCGACTCTTGTAATATTTCCCCATTTAATAGCTTCTGGGGGAGGGTGTCAATTAAAACATTGTCTCAATATTCTTCACCACATTTCTCCTTCCTTAGTGGCTTGGGCAATAATTTCTAGCTCTCTCTCCTAAATGCTACTAGCAAAAACACTGCCTCTGTCTCAGACAAGGTTATAAAAGTACCAATGGAAAATTTTATGTAAGTCTGTGGACACCATATCCCCAGAAGTGATCCACCTCGCCTCTGAAAAACAAACAGGGAGAAAAGTGGTAATGGAAAGTCAGGCCTTGGAGAGGGCTGCGTGACTGCGATCGGGATCTGGAGGTAAGAGTATGGTCACACCAAAACACTCTTCCCCACAAACAATGGGTGAAGCCCATTGGTACCAGGCACGCACTTTAAGGTTCTCTCACCATTGGACATTATCTAAGATACTGCACCTATCTCTGGATACTCCATGAAAATCCACAGCGATGGAATGGAGTGGTAGGCATCCTAGCATTTTGTGTTCCATGACTCACTGTACCTGGGTCTGAATTGGGCTGTTTGAGAATTTTTCACAGTGGTCATGTCTATATAAACATGTTAAAGAGGACATTGAGTCATGGGTTGAAGGGCTTGGAGAGTTTACAACAGCAGAAAAATTAAAGCACCTACGGTAATCTTCCCAGTCGATAATTTTGTCTATCTGTACGCATGGTGGGTTCAATAGTTAAAACTGAACTACTAGGGCTGCCCTTCATTCTTCTTTGGTGAACTAGACAAACACTGGACATTGTCATCTTCGATTCTAAATTGTCCAGGTTAGTATGTGTGATAAAGCAACCAAAGGCAGCTAGAATTTATTGGAGAGACGATGATAAAATGAAACCCACATTTCCTAATTACTCCCAGTCTCACATCTAACTCAGAAATGAGAGGAATGAAATGTGTCTTTATACAAGTCTTCAGCCTGTTGATGGCTGTGTGGACAGCATGGGACTGACCCAGACCCCTTAGTGTGGGCATCAGTGCGGAGGCCTAGGCAATTTATGGGGCCTTGGGTAGTATTTATCCCTGGCATACAAATGGACTTTGGGCACCCATCCCATAATGAGGGATGCTCTCTCGGCCTGGACTCTTGTGGGAAGGCCTAGGCCCTGCCCTGGATGAAATGACAGACTCTGGAGATCCTCCATGGAGGGCCTCACCCTCTCTGGAGATCGGAGTGGAGACTAGGTGGGGGTCTGGGGGGGCCTGGAAGGGATGGGGGGGGAAGGGAAGGGAGAGGGAGCTGGGATTGACATATGAAATAAGCTTGTTTCTAACTTAGATAAAAAAGGAAGAGAAAACCAACCAACCAACCAAACAAACAAAAAACCCAAACAAGTCTTCAGCCTGACCCTTGGGCCTAGTGAGCGGCGTATCCAGTTCAGGTGGGAAGAGACGGAACAGCAGGAAAGGCAGCCCAGCAGTAACAAGAATTCCAAATAAGGCATCTGCTGCTGCTGTGTGAGCCATGCTGCCCACAGCTCCTCCCCTCTGGATCTCCCAACCCCCAGAGCAAGACGTTTCAGTGACAGGAATGACATGGAAGGCTGTGGAAGTCAGAGATACTTCCTGTCCTTAAGAGGCAGAGTGTGTTCTTTAGGCCAGGGTTCTAGGGTGTTGTCAACTTCAGCATAAGTAAAAGAACACGGAGAGAAACAGAATCCTAGAGGGGTGTAGGTAACCGGTACCATAAATGCGGAATCCTTGAGTGTTTGCCATGAAACATCAGTAAAGATTAAATTGTTTCTTAATTACTCTTTACTGTGATCTGGGCTCCTTCCAGCTGTAACTGGGACAATCTAAGGATGATTAACCTTTGCTTGGGTTACAGATAGAGTGACTTAATCTCGATGGAGACAGAGTCAAACCTCAGAAGTGGATGGACTTGAAGCTCCCTCTGCGCCTTGATACACAACTCTGACAGCCCTAGACTCACCTGTGTCCATTGGCCTCCCTTCGTCTTCTTAGTCAAACTACTGGTTGAATTTCATTTGTAAACCCAGGTTCTCTAAACTAACAGCACAGTAGTGCAAGTGATGAAATATTGGACGGACAGATGGGAGGCTATCCTATGAATTTTAGATATGAAGTTTTCCCAGCATCCCAGGTCCTCTAGAATAAACAGTATGGCAGGAACCAATGTCATCCATCTTCAAGTGATGGTTGCGTAGGCGTCAACAAATATTTGCAGGATGAAAAGACCTCAGATGTTTCAGCATGTGGTAGAGGGTGGCTGTCTAGCCACTCTGAATCATATCCTGCACCCAGGAGAAGGGTGGTGTGCAAACAGAGAGGGCAGATGGCATCTCCCCTGCTGGCGCCCTGGAGGACATGACTGAGTGGGGACGAGGGGCAGCCAAAGTCAACAAACCCCGAAACACAAGAGCAGTACGTCTCTCGCTTATTTGCTCTCACCCATTTGCTCAGGTTATTTCCCTGGGAACTGCAGTCACTCACTGGGATGTATGTCTTTTCATGACATGGTCTTTGCAGAGTCTCCTATTGAGCAGTGGAGTCTCCTACTTTCTCTTCCTTCTCACTGAATCATTTCTTCGTAACTTATATCCATGAAGGTCTACCATGTATGAGGCTGTGTGAAATAGTGGAAGGAAGTGCCACACAATTTTAGCTCGGCCCCGGGTGGCTTAGGTTGTGCCAGGAGGAAATGGCACAGTACCCAGTAGTGTGTGCCTCGTGTCAGGGGTTCCGAGAGAGTGTGGTGATGTGTGGAGAGGCTGAGGTATCCTGGCTGGGGAAAGACTGGGGAAGCAAGGGTGGATCTCCACAGGAAGAGCACAGGGGTGCGAATGGGTTATTTCCCCAAGCTGGGGAAATAGCAACATCCACCACCAAAACCAACAGCGGCCACAACAGAGTATCAACATAATCTTGCAAGAAATAAACCATAGGAAAGCATATATGGGAGGTACTTACTTTGAAGTTAATTTTGACCCTATATTCAATACCTTCCTTTAGCACAAATGTTTCCTTTTTGAGGGCTTCAAGGTCACCTGGAGAAGAGCGTTTAGAAAGTTAATATCCTCAGGAGCGCTACATAAAGAATGAAAGCCATGGTTCAGAGCCTTCTGCTGGGTACATCTGGGCTGCATGGCTCATAAGAATCTTAATTCAACTAGCATGTGGGATTAGTGTACACACACACACACATACACACACACTGCCTGCATCTTATAGTTTAGTTATTTAAAAAAAAAACAGTTGCATGGTAAAGGGTTCTCCTACAAATTTGATGTCAATGCCAAAAATATACAAACTTTATAATTAGTTTTGGAGACAAATCTCTTTTTTCCCCATAACTTCTACTTAGTTCTGATGAAGATAAATATTTTTTATTATTGTCAGTACAACAGCAAAAAAGTCACTCAACTGGCCACCTTAGAGGAAAGTGAGCTAATATTCCTTCTAATGAAAACTTCATATCCATAGTTAGTTGAATTTGTGATGGCTTCTCTCAAAGAGATATGCGAAAAAATAAATAAGAATATCAGCTATTGGCTTTCATAAAACTGATAAGCATTTAATAGATTTTCCCTCCATCAATTCATATATTGATATTATTATTATTACCAATTACCAGTTGGTAATATATGGTATTTTCTAGCTTTAAAAATACTTTTAATTTTTATAATTATTTAAATAGGTTCTCATTTTGAACTTGTTGGATTGCATTTACAATGTTATATCATATTATTTTCCTTAACGAAGATCATTTCAATTGTAACAGCTTTAGGGTTCATAATCCTGAGAGCTGCCTTTAAATCCTGGGCCCTGCTTAGGGAGGCTACGATGATTTATTCTTTCCTACCTACACTCCTGTTTAGTTCAGTTGTGTGCACGTGTGTATGTATATGTATATGTGTGTCTATGTGTGCATGCATATGTATGTACATGTGTGTCTCTCTATGTGTACATATATATGTATGTGTATGTACATGTGTGTCTCTGTATGCATATGTATGTGTGTGTCTCTGTGTGTGCGTATGTGTGTATGTGTATGTGTATGTGTGTCTATGTGTGCATACGTATGTATGTACATGTGTGTCTCTCTATGTGTGCATATATATGTATGTGTATGTACATGCGTGCCTCTGTATGCATATGTATGTGTGTCTCTCTGTGTGTGCGTATGTGTGCATGTGTGTTTCACACAGCTTTGGGTAAGTATTTTACTTCGCAAACACTATCACACGGTTTTACCTTAGCACCTTCCCTAGGACAGAAAAGCAAATTCAGGTTTTCAAAGACCAAGCTTCCGTCTTTTCAGTGTTCTCATCCCTTTGGACATGTCTACAGCGCTGTCAGGCCTCCTCTTGCCAACTGATGGCTGTACCTGGCTACGTCACAGAGGCCTGAGTCAGCGAGAGAGAGCCTGCTTTTGTCCTGGAGAGATGCTGAAACATGGGGCTGAGTGTGTGTGAGTGTGAGAGTGTGTGTGAGTGTGTGTCTGGGTGTGTGGGTGTGTTTGTGTGTGTGTGTGAGAGAGAGAGAGAGAGAGAGAGAGTACACGCGCCTGGGTGTGTGTGGTGTCTGCTCTACTGATTTCAGTTGAACCGGAAACCTGTTTTGTCAGGCCCTGACTTCCTCCCTCTGACAGAAAAATCCATATAAGGTGAAGTGCACAGCCCTGTGAGAGGGAAGTCCCTGCTGCTACACTCACGGCCCCAGAGTTGTGCTTTCATCTGCTTCAGTGAAGTTTGGAATTTGGCAGCAGATTCCCCTCCAGATCTCCATTCCATGCCTCTGATTTCGCTTCCCGGCCCTTTTCTCATCCCCAGAAGGTGCCTGATTTCCCAGGAAGCCCACCTCCCCATCTAGGACCACCTCCTCGAGACCTGCCTAAGGAAAGTACTTGACTATTAGTCACAAAAAGTGAAATAAACACTATGTTTTTGTAGGAGAAACTGATGACGGAATGGAGCTTTAAGCTTTGAGTACGTTGGGCGGGGGAGTATCTATCATTACCCAGGAGGTCTTGGGGTGCTCCTCCCCTTCAGCTAAGACCATAGCTGGGAAAGGATTAGAGCTTTTGCTGGTGTTCAGACCTTATAAATATCGTAAGTCTGGAAGTGCCAAGCATGTTTCAACATCTGCAGTCTTTCCTATAAGAACAACCATTTCTTATGTGGAAACACGGCTCTGACATGAATATCATACAAGTAGACACATCAAAAGTGCATGACTGGAGGCTGGGGAGGTGGCTCAGTCAGTGACATGCTTGCCATGCAAGTTTGAGGACTGAGTTGGACCTCCTGAATGTTGAACAACTTTTCAGAACTAAGTAATCCCTCCAAATAAATAGAGCTGGGCATGGTAGCTCTGAGGCGATGGAGACTGGTAGATCTTTCCCGGGGCTCATGGGACAGACATACTAGCCCAAGCGAGATTGTGAGGAATGACACCTGAGGTTAACATCTGGCCCTCACATGCATGTACACACATGCACTCTTCACAGGTACATGAGTTAGGAATCATAATAGTGTGCAAAGAACACGTGCATATACACCAAAAGGTGTATAATTCTCAACTGTTCCATGACATTGAGTCTGGAGCTGGAGTTTTCTTCACATGCAGCAAGCAGTGGACACTCAGAGTGCAATGGTTTGTACACTGATCCCAGCATATACGTCTCCAAGGGCCACCTTAATGCTTTCCTCCAGTGCGAATTGGGGACAAAGACCAAGTTTTCCCTGTGACATCTTAGACCCCTCTGAACAAAAGAGATGTGTTCACGTACCAGTAAGGTCCATGGTGATTGGTCCTGGTGCGCTGTCACATACAAGGCTAAGCCTGGTAACAGTTACATTGGGGACTGTTGGGTCTGCAAGGTTAAAGAGAAAATGTAAGTACAAGGAAAGGGTGCACGTGTGAGAGAGAGAGAGAGAGTGTGTGTGTGTGTGTGTGTATGTGTGTTTCAAGTTGTGGACGAGGAAGAGAATATATAGAGAGAACGACTTCTCTGTGTGGGGTAGCAATAGAAACAGAATGGCAGATTCACTATACTTGGTATTGATCCCTATAGAGATGGCAGAATTGTGATTTTTCTAATTCAGGAATTTGCAGACTGTGTTGGATACTTTTATATCAAGTTGACATGAGCTAGAGTCATTTTGGAAGGATGACAAAGTGCCCTCACCAGACTGTAGTATAGGCAACTCAGTGGACTGCTTGATTGACGATTGTTGTGGAAGGGCCTAGCTCGTTGTGGATGGTGTCTCCCCTGGGCTGGTGGTCCTGGGTGCTGTAAGAAAGCAGGCTGATCAAGGCCATGGAGGGCAAGCCAGTAAGCAGCACTCTCCATGACTTCTGTATCAGCTCCTGCCTCCAGGTTCTTGCCCCGAGTTCCTGGTCTGACTCCCTTCAGTGTTGGACTGTGATTGTGGAAGCATAAGCCAAATAAATAAACCCTTTTCTCCCAAGTTGCTAAGACAGACTCATCTTAATTACAAGTCTCAAATACTGAGACATTGTCTATTAGTACTTGTCACCATGTCTGGTGGTTCTGGCAGTGTGTATGTGTGTGTGTGTGTGAGAGAGAGAGAGAGAGAGAGAGAGAGAGAGAGAGAGAGAGAGAGAGAGAGAAAGAGAAGAGAGAGAGAGAGAGAGAGAGAGAGAGAGAGAGAGAGAGAGAGAGAGAGAGAGAGAGAGAAAAAGGAATAATTAAGAAACACCCAAGAAAGAGAAAAAACCTGATGGGGACCAGATTACAATGCAGTTGTGGTCTGAAATCCTACGTATTCCCCGTGGGTAACTTTTGTCTGCCTCACCTCTGCCTCTCACACAGTCTCAAAAGAAGATTTAATTATACAGCCACAACCTTAGACAGCGTGTATAAACAGTGCCTCACCCACCTAACCACGTAGCCCTTTGCTTCTGACTGTGGGTGATGGCTGTGTATGCCTCACTGGAGGCCTTCCCCTGAAGCCCCCGCCCCTCCCCCCACATACCTGCTATCACCGGAGCATCTCCCAGAAGTGTTTTCTTGTACTTGGTTAGACTCTCGTCATCTTTATCCATCTCCTGGAGCTCCTTAAGGGACTTCTGGGGGGGTGGCTTGTAATTGAGCTTGCTGTCCAGGTCGTCCTCTCCCTCCTCCAGCTGTGGCTGCTCGTCCTTCTCAGTCATCTTGACTTCTCTTTACTTCAGAGAAAGGGTAATGGCCGGTTAGTTAGCTAGCTGGGTAGCTACTGGTGCCACCTGTGCCTTATTGGAGAGCTGCACTCATCGGTGATCTTCAGAGCGTTCCTCAATACATCTCATGAAATGTATAATCTTTCCAGTCATTTCTCTGACTTGTCTTAAGTTTTCCTTTCAGAAATAAAACTATGGGAACAAGTAACTCACTTGTGAACAATACATAGTGAAGAAATGTAACAAACAGTCACAATGACCAACTATTCTAGCTTTGCTCCATTGCTGCTCCCAGTGTGCGGTCTGAGGTACGGTGACACGAGACACAGACAGAGCACCTGTGGTTCTTCCTATGGACTCCCCCTCAGAAACACAGGCCTCTGACACCTGCTTGGGATGTTCGAATGGGCCCCATCACACACCGCTAATCATGGCTTGAGGGCAGACACTGGGTCCCAGGTTTTTCTTGAGTCTCCACTCCTACTCCATAACACTCGTGTAGCTCTGCGTTTTATAATTTTCACTGACTGATTCATTTTACTCTGTGTCCTGTGTTCTTTTGTCATGCCACCAAATAGCAAAGAGCTCAAATTCCTCTAGGCAAAATCGTAAGTGCAGACTTGTAATGAGGGGCCTTCTGTCCACGTTGCCTTTTGTTTGAGTCTTTGCTGTAATTTCCTATATTTCTAGTGAACTTATGCTCTCCACACACTGCAGGTTAGCTATGAGTATGGCCTAATTGAAAATCATAAATTTATTTAAAAGAATGGTTTTTCAAAAAAAATTCAACTTGATGGCATGACTCTTGAGCATGAAGTTTATAAGCAAAAACACTGTATAATAGTGCCAAAAGGTTGGACACATCTACAAAGTCTCTTCTGGGTGGACAATGGAACATTCCTTCTCTAATCATCATCTACATGTGTAAACAAAGAAATCACCATCTACTTGACTTGTGTAAACAAAATCGAGGAGGAAATCTAGTAAAATTATCCTCATGGGAGTGTTCATGAGTGTCCGTAGAAATGGATTTTCAGAGCCCAAAAGTTAAGAGGTAACATAGTTCAACTTCTCCCTGAACCTTTGGGGAAACTGAGACCTGATGGTTAAGAAACTCATTCCTGGTCACACCGTGGTGAACTTGACAATGTGGCTGGAGGCAATGGAGGTGTTGCCTGGAGATGCTTGGGAAAGGATGCCTAACTATGATCTCCTCTTGCCCATCGGCACAGCCTTCATTTCTCATAGTCAAAGCCTATAAGACACTATCTGTCGTATCTTATCAACAGTATGTCACTGTGGACCTCTGAGAATTCTCTGGGAAAGAAGAAATCTATGGCCCAATTTGATCGTTCTGTGTTTCAATGTTACTCATGCAATATGAAGAAAAATAATTCAGAAATGGAGACAAACAAGAGCAAATTTAATGGAACAAAAGAAAGAAATGGCAGGGTGTGTGGAGAGGGGACCAAGAAAAGGTCGAAATGGAAGAAGGGAGAGCAACAAGGGTCTTCTTCATTCATCTTCCAAACGTCAGACCAAAGACCAAAGCCCTGAGAGGCTCTGAATTGCAATGCTCAGGTCCTTTTCCTACAAAAAAGGAAGCATGCAGGCTGGTTCCTATGATAACCTTGCCTCACTTAAATCACCGGCATCACCCAAAGCCAAGATTCCAGAGATCAACAGTCAAGGCTCCAGATCAGCAGGGAAAACATAATGATTTATCCAGCTCATATTCCAAACAGCATTCAGGGAAAAACTAGAATGAACTGGTAGGAAAAACAAAGAAGGGTGCAGTGGGTGGATCTTGTCATTTGGGGCAGTTAAAGGACACGCTCTAAGGGGCAGATGAAGAGCAAGCCCGATAAGCCATATCAGAAGAGGTGGATTATCATCTGGTGGCCATAACAGCTTAACTGAGGAGCATGGTGGAGAACCCGCAACCAGCTGGACAGAGCAGCAGACTCATTACAAGGACAAGGGTGGCCCAGTTCACAGGAGTGGAACATATGACGGTTCTAACAGTTCCCCATTGGAAGCCTGACTTTTAGATGGCGACCTTGTACCCATTCATCAGTTCAAGCAGATCTCATTAGTTTGCAAGAGCTGTAATCCTTCAGCTTTAGATTCCAGTTCTTGAAAAGAGCAAGAGAAAGAGGGAAGGAGAAGGAGAGGGAGGGGGGAAGGGGAGGGGAACAAGAGGGAGAGGAAGAAAGAGAAAGGCTGACACAAGACTTGCAAACTTCTAGTTCTGTGACCATTGCCAAATCATCTCTTCCACCATCTGAGTTTCCAACGTGTTATTAAATCTGATATAATTTAAATTTTCACAATTCATTGCAAACAAATGTATATTTCATAAAACAGAGATAACTTTATAAGAAGTTGAAGAGCAGAGGGCAATGTGTGATGTCTGGAATTGGTACAACAAAAGCAGGAGTTTCAGGGCCATATTGCAATAATTTGACAGAATTATAGCATAAGAAAAAGATCTGAGACCAGATGATCCAAAGTTATTCACGGTGGAAAGATGATTATTATGGTAATAACCATAAAATAACTGAAAGGACAACTCTCAGCCAAAGCCTTTAAGCAAAAAGTCCTTCACTTTAGAGCACACTGACACTCACCAAGCTGGTCAGAGGCAGGGAAGGAACTGAAATTGATAACCAGTCACACTCAAAAGGCCTAGCTGGGTTGATTGGTGGTCCTTCATCTTTTGGGAGATGACAGGACTCTTATCTGATAAGCAGGGGCTGGTGATGACTCAGTGGTTAAGAGCACTGACTGCTCTTCCAGAAGACCTGGGTTTGATTCCCAGCACCCAGGCAGCTCACAACCATCCCTAACTCTAGTTCTAGAAGGTCCATAATCCTCTTCTTGCTTCTGGGATCCACACACAGAACACACATGTGAAAATAGCCATACAGATAAAAACAAAAATAAGCAACTCATTAAAATATGACAGACATCATGGTCTTTAGTCCAAAGGGGAAAAGAGTAAAGAAAGACATGATTCTTCTTTTAGTGCATAGATTCATGGACTCTGAAGCCCTTCGTAATCTTTATCATGGTCTAAGAGTTCCGGGTTGGAAACCTGACTTTGAACCTGTGACTTCCTGATGAATGCAGCACAGTTAATCGCTGCAGAGGAAGTTCTCTTCCCCGCAGAGCTCCTGCTGGGTCCTTGGGATTGAACCTCAAAGTCATGACTGCCCTTATTCACTCCAAATGTTGGCTATACAGAAGCAGAGGCCGTCAGGAGACATCCATGTCGCCTGAGTGTGGGCACGTGGGTTGTGGTTAGATCAATGCGATTCGGGCCTTGTTTATCTCCATTCTGAACAGCCCCATCACACAGGGATGTTGGTTCTGGCTCCCTCAAAGTGAACTCTTGGGCACATGTTTCAGTCTTGAGGCCCCTGCTTCCCTTGTGTTGAGATATGGGGGACTAGGGCACACGGTCTCTAGATGGTCCACTGTCCCCAGCCTTTCTCTGAAAGTAACTCCCTGTCTGCAGTTGTGTGACAGTTGAGCGACTTTCAGTTACCTTACCTCATCTGTGTGTATGAGGAAACAATATCATTTAATTATTTAAATTTCATATGACTTTCCCAAAGGTGCTGCATTTTACATTTTATATAGCTTACTTTTTTTCTCCGATGTAAGTCATTTTTCTTTACCTAAATCCCGTTGCGTCACAAAGACTATAGAATAAAACGGCTGCAAATAGTCACTGAAGGTTCTGAGTCAAAACCTAGCAATTACATGCTTGGTGCATCCCATGAATTATTGAAAGCAATCACCAGGCACTGGGAGGGGGCTACATGTTACAGAAACATGGAGAAAATAGGAAATACAATTTAACCTCAGGCCAGGACACACAGGTCTGGCTATTAATATAGCTTCATTGAGTTGTTGGCCATAAAAGAAATTAGGTTCTACATTTATGGGAAATAAATCCTGTCCCTGGTTAATTTGGAGAAATGACCTTCATGTTTGATAAAACATGGGCTTTGAGGAAGGAGGGCCGGCTGGAAGCCTGGCTCTGCAACCAACTTCTTAGAGTATCCAAGCAAGCTCCCAGGGCTGTGGGAAAACAGACCCTCCCTCATGGCGTTGAAAGGTCGAAGAAAATGTGAGCTGTGAACTGCACTGGCTTGTGCACACTCAATACATATGAATTCCTTTTCTTGTTTCCCTCCCTTCCTGGCCCTGACAATACGGGTTTTGTGGCACATAACTGCCCAGTGCCCAGTGCTTCCCCTGGGTATAAACCGACCATGCCCAGCCCTTCCTCCTCAATCTGTATCTGCTTTTGCGAGGAGTAAGGAAGAGACCCGAAGTTCAGGGACTTCTGAGGGTTATTTACTATTATGCTACTATAATAATTATATTTATTATTATATGAATATAATGATAACTACTTTTTTAAAATACCTCACTTTAGCTGTTTAGCTTCAGGTTTTATTTGTTGAACCTTCGCCTGACTGAAGCCCGTGTTCACTCGGAATGATGAGTCAGTGGATGTGGAGCGGTCGCTAGAGAAACTCCCTCTGGCTCTGGAGCAAAATGCTGGGTAGGCTGGGGCGTCGCCCTGTACATCTGAGTCACTACAAGGAAGAGGTAGCCACTAGACAAAGGGGGAGGTGGGGTGTGTGTGTAGGGGGTGGGAGCAGGGCATTTCCCGAGGTAGAACCCAAAGCAGAGAGCCGAGTTCTCTCAGAAAGCTGCAGGCCTCATTAGCTGATCAAGGCTCTGCCCACATTGATGCTGCTGCCTGGTCTCTGGAGATGCCAGCTTATCTCCCAGGACATTCACAAGGCCTCTTGGTTGCTTCTGGAATAACCCCCACTCCTTCAATATTTCTAGCCACATGGAACATTTTGCCCTTCCTGGCCATCGAAAGGTCATTGTCTACCAAGTCAACTGCATAGGCATTCCAAACTCTGAAACTGGGTGAGAAGATCCAAGCTGGAGACCAGACCGAGAGGGACCCACCTTGTGTGGTGCAATGAAGGTTATCTGTCCAGAAGGGGACAGAGCTCTAGAAACAGCGTTCTCTAGCTCTCTTCTTTCTCTCTTTCTTTTCAAAAATGCCTTTTTTTTTGGACAGGGTCTCATTACGTACGCTGGCAGGCTTGGAACTCACGGAGAGAGTCCTGACTGTGCTTCCGGAGTGCGAGGACTAAAGGTGTTCGCCACAACTCCCTCAGAAACAGAATTTCACCTTTCCCTTGCTGAGAGAGCAGCCTATTATTTCCTGCATCTGCATTCCTATCATGCTTTTCCAGTCCTGGAGATAAGACTTAAGAATTAGGATGCTTCTCCAACTGCCCACCACGTGACACTGGTCTTTCACAAATAACATTTTAAAATAGTCTACAAAGACAGCTGTGCTCTGGAAGCCATGACTGGGCAAAAAAAAAAAACAAAAAAAAAAAAACAAAACAACAACAAAAAAAAACCCCCAAAAAAACCAAACAAACAAAAACTAGACTTGAGTAACTCAACACATTCGCCAAGGTTTTAAATGCATGGAATGTTAGAAGTCAAAGACAGTCTCGTGACCAGTCGAACTTAGGTTATCAGGCCCCTGAAGGAAGACCTGGTGGAGTTTTATCTAGCCTTGGTTAAGGAAATCAGAGTGTTATGAATAAAGAACAAATTGGTAAGAGCAAGCAAGACCGGGGACTTACCACTGTAGACTCTACATGAGACTCCAACCCACCCTCCACCAACACATCCGTAACAGAGCAGCACGCTGTCCTGCAAGCAAAGACACTCCACGTGTGCCAGCAGAGACAACTTCTCCCGTGGGAGTTTTCTAAGCCATCAGTTCTCTGTTGTGCTAGTAACACGACTTCAGTCAAACTACCGAATACTTCTGGGTCTTACAATCTTCCCCATCCTCTCAGGATGAAAATCTTGAGTTTCCCAATACCAAGCTGGGCACACAGAAGGCTCTGAGCCAATGCTGGCTATCTTCTCTCTGCTTCGTTTTCACCCCACAGGACTTCTCCCTTCGTGCTAGCTGAAGTTTGTCACATATTATATTCCCATAAATTCCCCCTCAGAATAACTCTGTTGCTCCAGGCTTTCAGTTAAAGCAAAACCAGGAGACTACTCAAAGCATGCCTCCCTAGGGACAGACCCATGCTCCTCAAAATGGACCAAATTCCAAGGCTGGAAGATGCCCACGAGGCTTAGGCTGGCTGACTGGCTACAGTTGTTCCTCGCTGGCTGCATCTGGGCAACGTGGATGGAGGCTGGATATTGTTCTGTCAGAAACCCACAGGTCTTACAAAAGAATTAAGCTGATTTTGTCACTAAACTTGTGTGCTATATTTGAAACTGCCAGAGATACACTCTTAGAAATGATAAGGTGAATGACACCTGTTGGTGACAAATTCCCAGCCAGCAGGTCACCATTGATCTCTTCTTGAGTTCTCCTATGAGTATTCAATATGCCCGCCCTGGCTTCAGAAGCCTCCAGGTGTCTTTGTGAAGCCATGGCTGGGGGACCTTCCTGTGAGGGCAGTCTGTCTTCCTCACTTGCAGTAAAAAACTGCTCAGGGTTTCTCAGACCCATGTCCCAACTTACCCCAGATGGGAACTTCAGGACAGACTGCCTGGAAAGTGACAGAGAGGAAAGCATGTCAAGGCAAGTCTAACGAGGCCAGAGTTCAGATCACGACACCTGGAAGGCTTACTGACCCTGGTCATAGTTGAGCCCACTTCGCTCCTCCTGGCCTCTCTCTCTAAGGACCCTGTCTGCCTCTTCCGGGTTTGCTTTAGGGTTCCCCGATGTGAAGAGCTGTTTTGTTTTGGGCAGTAACAGTGACTAACTTACTGCCCATCCCACTGCAGGAATTTAATCCTTCTCTTTTGCCGATGCCTTAGTAATTGACAGTTCTGAACCATGTTTCCCCCCTCTTTTGAACATTCTCTTTAAAGTGCTCACAAAAACAGGAAACCGCACCACCCCACCCCAGCACAACCCAACATCCACCAACACAGTCCAGATCAGCGCAGAGGTACAGTTTTTTCTGTTTCTGAGCTTGGCCAAATTCCAGTTTCTGCCAAGCAAGGAAAACACCCCGTTTTCCAGGTATTCCCAGAGCCCTTGTCTAGAACATTCCGGCAGCCGGGTACTTAGCCCTGCCTCCTCCAGCTTGTCTACCGTTCCCAGCCCTGACTTCCCCTTCCATGCTCCAGTGATCTCTCTAGCACTTTCTTGTCATGGAGCTAGCTTTAAAGAGCCACCCATCTTGAGAACAGCAAGAGCTCATCTGCTGCAGGGGCGGGAGCGTGAGTCTGAGATTCCCTGCATGGCTCTGCGCCCACCTGCAGCCCCCCCCCCCCCCCCCATCTCAGGCATTGAACTTACAGTCAGGGCTTCTCTGTCCGGGTACCTCTGCCTCTCAACTCTGACTTCGGAGTACTGGCAGTTAGAACAGGAAGGAAGTTAGTGAGAGGAGAGAGAGAGAGAAAAAAAAAAATGTTTTAAACCTACTTGAAGAGGAAACCCTGGGCTGCCTCAAATCCTGTTCCTTTGCACTGCCTATCTGCCGATCAGCCAACTCCGAGCAGCATTCTTGACAATTAATGACACATGCGGAGCGAGCCGGTCCATGTGACAAGAGATGCATGAGCGTGCAAGCTGGGGGATGGTCCCCACAGCCATGCGAGCTATGAATAGTTGTGTGTGCGTGTCTAAAATCCACTATCTCGGGGAGAGACGCGGAGCCCCCAAACAGTGGTGATAAATGCGCTTAGGCTGTAGTGTGTACTACTCTTGCTTCTATAAGGCCCTGGCAGCTTTCTTCCCTCCTTTTTTTTTTTCTGGTAAGACAATTTGCTGGTAGGAAACTCAGAGTAGAAATTCTGAATGTTAAATGTATATACTTGGTGCTAAATTTAAACCATTTGGTTCAGATGGATTTTTGGAGTTGCATTTATTTATTGGTTCTAGTTTTAAGATGTTGCTGTGTATTGAACCACAACCCTTCACATGAAATAAACAAAAGTAAAGCAACAATAGCAAAAACCTACCACCATTGATTACATCTAGGAATGCAGATTACAACGAAAATTCAACTTCATTAATTCATCATCTAATGCAGGAATCTGAGATAACCGCATATATGCTAAAATTGACTTCGTAGCTGTTTGAGGAAGTGGCTTGTGAAGTCATTTAAATTCCAGCAAGCTGCCAATGCCATATGCAAACCTTTTGAAGAAACAGTTGCAGTGTTCTGTATCTCGCCTGCTCTGCATGCTCCTGTGTTCGCTGTCAAAAGTGCATGCTCATTTACGCTAATATTTCAGTAATCAGCGTTTGTATCAGTACACTGAGTCCTTGCTGCTTCAACAGAGTCACTTGGAGAAAACGGCATTAATTCGTTCTTCATCCAGATACGCTGCATGTGCTTCGTTTCGTCCTTAGGGTAATCAGAACTGCAGTGACAGAGGGGGTGGTAGTCGTATGGCTGGAGAAGACAGACTGGCGGGGGGAAAAGGGATAAGAAGGAAAGCAGTGGGGGTGGTGGGATGTGTGTGGATAGCTGTGTGTCAATTCCACGCAGGCTATACTCGTCTGAGAGGCAGGAACTTCAACTGGAGAAAAAGAAGCCTCCATAAGATTGGGCTGCAGGTGAGCCATATAGGACATTTTATTAATGAGTGATCCTTGGGAGACGGCCCAGTCCATTGTGGGTGGTTTCATTCCTGGGCTGGTGGTCCTGGATTCTATAAAAACGTGGACTGAGCCAGCCACAGAGAGCAAGCCATCAAACAGCACCCTTCCGTGGCCACGGGTCAGCTCTTACCTCCAGTTTTCTTTGTTTTTGCCCTGTTTGAATTCCTGCCATGTCTTTCCTTAATGGACTATGATATATAACCCAAATCAATGCTTTTCACCACAAGTTGCTTTGGCCATGGTGTTCCGTCACAGCAATAGTGACCCTAACTAAGACGGGGTGCATGCCTAAAATCCAGTACTCAGACGACTGAGTCCAAAGGACCTCAGATTTGAGGTCAGGCCTGGGCTACCTGGCTACATTGTAAGGCCATCTCACCAGCAATAAAAAACAAACAAACAAATAAATAAGCAAACAAATAGGAAAACAGTACATAACTAAACTCAACAAAGTTAAGAAACCCCCCAGTCAGAGCCATTTTATAGATTTCAAGATAATATGAACACAGTTGATAGCTATACATTAATAAAAACACTTTATAATTAGATCTAAGACCCACTCAACTGGAGGGATACCACACCAGGTACTGAAAGCCTAGCTAACAAGTCCCTGATGGTGAAGTCATGGTTATTGGAGGAGAATCTACAACTGGTAATTTACTAAACCATCATAATCCCTAACAACTGTCCTTATACTCACAGATAAATGTAGTCTTCACCTTTGATCAAGACAACTTCTCTCTGGAACAGACAGAGACCACTACAGAAAACCACCAGCTACCAAAAGGCAGAGTTGTGCAGCCCAGTCCCAATGAAGACAAAACACTCCACACCTAAGGCTCAGGGAACATTGCAAAAGAGAGTGTGGCGAGATTATAAGAGCCAACGGGTCTGGGAGTTTGCTGTGACACTGTGTGTGTCTCCTAGTAATGTCAGAACCTACACCCATGAAGTCTCATAAACATGTCTGACCAAACATGAGCTGGACGAGAACATGTCAAAGGGGACTGGGAAAAGCCCGCACAATGCACTACAGGCAGCCGAGGAAAGCTGCGAGTGGGATCGTCCCCGAGGACACCAACTGGTTGTCTAGTGCCAAAACAGCACTGCAGACAACACACAAGCAACAGTGTGTGGACAAGCTGGTCATGTTTAAGAATATACATGTTCATGTTCATATGTATGCATGTTATAACAATGGGGGAAAGGTCAGGAATTTGAACTTGGGCGGGTGGTAGAGTTTGGAGGTAGGAATGGGACCAGAGAAATGCTGTAATTGTATTATTATATCATTTTTTAAAAAAATCTATGATTTACCCAGAAGAAAAAGAGGGGTATATTTATCCATTGGATCCTATTTCAGTACTCTTTTCCAGACAGTTTTAGGGGTACTGGGGCACATGAAAGTCAAACTTCTGCTGTCCAGGGGAACTTATGTTCTCATGGGGTGAAAAAGAATAACCCATAGAATATATTAATAGAATAAAACATACTTAAAACTTGGACGTTGGGGGTGTCAAAGTCTACCCAGGCCCACCCATGCTTGTGCAAAGAGGGGCACTACCATTAGTCAGGCTGACTGTGTCCCTGTCGGGCTGAGCTCAGTGTATTCTTACAGCCTGGGTTACTGAGGCGCTTTAGGGAAAGATACAAGAAGCCAAAAGCTGTGGACTCCATATGGCTCTGTGTAGTCTCTACACTACTCTTGGTACACAGAGAAGCTCATAATTTTTACCAAGTTTTCAGAGGGGTCTGCAACCTTAAAATGTTAAAGATTGCTGCTTTCAGTCATCATTTGGATGATACATTCATGGAACTGGTCCTTCCATGTCCAAATGATGGGTGTTCAGGGAAACTAATAGGATCTGCAAATTGCTATGGCAGTCCTTTAGCACAGTTGACCCCTTCCTGCGTTTTTCTTTTCTTTTTTCCCTTTCTTTCTTTCATTGTTCCTTTCTTTCTGTTTTTTAAGATAGGGTTTCCCTGTGTAGCTTTGGAACCTGTCCTGGAACTAGCTCTTGTAGACCAGGGTGATCTCGAACTCAGATATCCACTTGCCTCTGCCTCCCAACTGCTGGGATTGAAGGTGTGCGCCACCACTGCCCGGCTCTTCCCGTGTTTTTCTATGGTACATCATTCTTTACATTTATTTACTAGAGGAGAAAATGGAATAGATTCCTTCAAAACAGTTGACACTGTAGACACTGCCCTTACAGCCCATGCTGGAAAGGAGTAGTTATTGACCAAGGCTCCCTTCCCTTCTCCAAGAGTCCACAAATATAAAACAATACCTCCGTGGTAAGAGGAATTCTGTTTCAACACATGGGCCGGCTAATGCCAAGTGACATCACTAAACTTTACAAACCTGCTTAAGAATTTTCAGAACAGCAGTGAAAGCTTGGAGAGGTTTTCCAGCTGTTTCAAGGGTGCAGCAGAAAGGTAAAGGCAGATAAATCTTGCCAGGAGCCTCTAAAAATGTTGACATCCCCCACCCCACTGGCTGCTGACACGGGCCATGATTTTACAGACATGTGTGTCTCAAAGAACATAAACAGAGACACTCAGAGGAGGCCTTCTGCTCTAACCTCTGCCTGCTCTGAAAAGTGTCTGTATATAGCAGTCTTGGAGAGGGGAGAGAAAAGCTGCTTCTGACCCCATGTCAGCACCCTTGGTGTGACACCCTGTTCCCCGCCCCCGTCTCTCATCTGCTTCTGACCCGCTGTCAGCACCCTGGGTCTGAGCCTACCCCTTCTCTCATGTCTCTCATCTGTTTCTGACCCCGCTGTCAGCAGCCTGGGTCTGAGCCCACCCCCTGTCGAAGCTTCAGTTTCTCATCTGCACAAATGAGGTGCATTGTATTTTGCTTTTTGAAAGCTTTTTGTGTTACAAGCAACAGCTCAAGCATACACATTAGACCAAGCAGGGCAGGGTGATGGCCACCCACCTCATTTTGTCCCAGGGCCTTCAGGGGATTAGTAGTCTTGGAGCTGTGATCTCCTTGATAACACCTTCTGGGATGCTCCCAAGGACCTGAATGAGGCTTTGTGATTATTTTGAATTTTCTGTTTTGAATGGAAGGACCGTGCTCTAAAATAGCAGAGAAAACACCAAATCCCGGTCAATGTGCAAATCAGTAGCAGTCATTTATGATAATGTTCTTTTATTTCCTCCAACATCACACACACACACACACACACACACACACACACACACACACACACACACACACACAGAGGGAGGGAGAGAGAGAGAGAGAGAGAGAGAGAGAGAGAGAGAGAGAGAGAGAGAGAGAGAGAGAGAGAGAGGTACTACAGGTTGTAAAAAGTCCTGAACATAGGTAAAGAAACTCTGACACAATCCTAGACCCCAAACTTGATAAGAACATAAAGGTGGAGACAGAAATAAATGTATGACTTTTGCTCAGGTGGGAAAGAAGAGTTTCCATGGGTGTTTTGAGGACAAAAGCAAGGATATAATAGGGGCATCTGGGAGAGGTGACCGTGGCGCTCAGCTTGAAGAACAGTTGGTGCTGGGCGGTCAGTGTGGGAAGACTGGGGACTGACGCTTGGTGTGGAGGAGCCGTGTTAGCAGTGGCATGGTGTCCTACAATGGAGCAGCTTGTGTAGGAAGTTTGTAAGGACCTCGCTGGCTCTTTGGTGTAGCAAGCTTTTTTGTTGGCCACCAGCTCACAAATAATGACATGGAGACTTGTTATTAATTATGAAAGCTTGGCCTTAGCTTAGGTTTTCCTACCAGCTCTTATAACTTCAATTAACCTGGTTTTATTAGTCTATGTCTTACCATGTTGCTCT